CACAAAGGTTGCATGCAGTTGATCGTTTTTGCTTTGACAAGCTTGCTGCACCATGCCATGCTGTACTCTCAAGGACTGTTTTTTTTTCATGCTTTTGTTTTGTTGCGTATGTGAGCATGGCCATTTAGGCAATATCAAATTGAATGTTGGCATGGCTAACGAGGCCTGAATCTGTAGGTGTACGGAATATGGGTTGAAATGTGCCCTCATTAGTTCTAATAGCAAGCGGACAGGGGTATTTTTCACGTCATGAAAACTGTCGAAAGGAACGATTGAAGACCCATGTAAGCCTGCATCACATCCAAAAATATCTGATGAACCGTGCATCAAACGGCCATCAGCCAGCAGATGCAGCTCTCTGCAGACTCCTGACCAAGCTCACGAAGGAGCGTCACAAATGCTGCAGCAGTCTGCACTCGATCATCTGTTCCGCCGTCGTATTTCCTCGCAGCAACAACTTCTTATCAACAACTCCTTATCGACAACCAGGCAAAACAACAAAACATTCTGGATTCCTTTGGAATTGTGGGCATTCTTCAAGCAGAGTCTGCAAGGTGGCGGAGCCTCGTTCCACCCAGCTCGCTCCTGGAGGCTGTTGTCACCTTGGGCGAAAGTTGTGGCCAAATACAAGGGGCATCAACATGCATAGAACCTGCGCGGCTGTCGCCAATCCTTTTTGACGCCAGTTCCTTGCGCTCTTCGCAAAGCACTTTGAGCCTCGGAATCCTTGGTTTCCAAAGCAAACGCCGACAACCTGATCAATGACGATGTTGTTTCATGCCGCTACGTCCCTATGCCCTGGCAGGGAGTGTAATACCGTCAAGAGACAAACCGGAAATCAGCAGTTGAAAAAAGAAATTGGGCTCGAGCTCATGGTAAGCCAAGCTGCACTGCCAACAAAAAACTTGAAGGTTCAACACTTTTTGCTGCATGCGGTGAGCATGTTTCCTAAATCTTTAGGCTTGAGAGATCTTGATAATCTTGATACCTTTGTCCAGACGGCAGAATACTTTTAATGCCCAGCGCTAGCTGTTGATGCCGAGAGGCTGCTTGTTTGCGCACGCGGAACCATACCTGAGACCACGCACCTCTCAAACATACTCGTTAGCTCTCGTTTGCTTGGCACAGGAAGCAGCCCTTTTTTATCTTTTTGTCGGAAACCCTTGAATTTTTGCAAGACCGTGGCGTGACTTTCAAGCCGCCTTAGCCATGTTTTGCCCCAGCATCGGATGCATCGGGTGCAGTGGCGCAGAACCCGAATTTGGACGAGGCTCAAAATGAGCTCCAATTCTTCGTCCGTGATTTGGTTCACAACTCTTTCTTCAACAAACCTGAAAGTAGCGAAAGCACGGGCAGGATCATGGCAAATGTGCTTTCATGCAGACTGCGGGGGAAGGGAAAAAATGCCTGGAACTGTTGAAGCCCGAAACGGGCACAAGTATAGACCGCCACTGTGGGCGAATCAGCGCAATAAACAAAAATGGATGAAACAAACAATTGGTAATCATTTAGTTCTTTGAAGTTGCTCCCCTTCTCAGGCCAAGCCTACAGACAATGATACCATATGATACCATTTTACGACATTCTTCAATGTATACAATACAGAGAGACCAAACTGTCAAGGGATGGAATGGGCTTGCCTGGGCATTTTCCGGTGGTGTTGCAGGGTTCTATTTTCCACTTGCAATTTCTTCCGAGCAGCTCAAAGGTGTTGTCTCTTGGCACCCACAGCTTTCCAGTATTACCTTTCGGCCAGACTTTCGAAGCCATGCGGCCAACCATGCGCGGAGCGGAATCCAAAGACCACATAGTTAGTTTATGTTAGTTTCATAGTTGCACTATTAGATGGAAAAAACAAGGTGCACCAACAAAGATTACCAATGCACCAGCCGTCTATCACCTTCTATCACCCATTGTGCCACCTTCTAAGCAACTTCCACAAGCATACAATGATTGCATCGTTCAATCATACACAATCATACTGTGACTCTTGAAGCATCTTGAAGTCAAGGCCAAGCAGCGCCAAATAAGAGTCCTTGGCTGCGACACCAACTGCAACGGTCTCAGCACATTTGCAAATGATATGCCTGAACTATAATGGCAATGGAGATCCAGAAAATATACATGAAATCTGACCGCTGTGAATTCCTTCGCCGCATTTTTTGACCAAGGGCATCCCGAAGAAAATCTGCAAGAACCTGCAACCAGCATCCTTGCAGTGGGACCTAGAAAACAACTTCCTGCTTGACAGGTGCTGCAAAATATGGCAAATCCCGTTGGGAATCCTTCCTGCAACTGAAGTCAGGCAAATGTTAAAAAGTATCTTTCTGATAGGCCGTGCAGGTCCTGCACTGTGGGGCCTGTGGGTTGTCAACCCGGGCATGAGCCCAAAGCCCTTGCCCGTTCTCCGCGTCTTTCTACGCCTCTCTACTTTCCTCTACCTACCGGGTTCCCGGTAGTACAACTGCTCAACATGCCTTTCACAGAGAATCGCCTTTGCCTTTGGCTGGGTGGCTCTTGAAGAGTTTTGAAGCCACTTCGTTGGCCACTTCGTTGGCCACTTCGCTAGCCGCTTCGCTGGCCACTTCGCTGGAAGATTGGTCGGAAACTTCGTCAAATCCCTCAGCAACCTGCGCTATGACTCTCATGAGGGAACCGTCCTGTGAAAACTGCCTTCCGCTCTGAGCTTTGTACTTGTCTGAATGGGTTTTGATGCGCCCCACTGCCCCACTTGGTACGTTGCTACCCAAACCATCCGAAACAGAAAAAAACACACTAAGTTACTAAGGGATGGTGATGCAAGTTGTCGGGGGCAAAAGCGTGCAAAACAACCAACAGTGACATTCTTTTGCCCAGCTGCTTCACCCGGCGTCAAGGAGGCTCGCACCCTTTGATGGGCCGTCGAAAACGTGATGACCCTGTTCATTGAAATGGCATTCGTATGGTACGTCCCAAGCAGGTCTGTAGAGATCATGTCGATGGAATCAGAGATGCGCGCAACGTCCCCTGGATGCCTTGGTATAGCCGGCAACATCCGGCAACACTCGCAAAGGAGCAAAAGCAAGATCTAAATTCACGTCTAGGCGCAGCGAAAGAAATCCTTTGTGAGCAATTTCGGGTTCGACTGCAAGAAGTTCTTGGGCCACCTGACAAAGTGATGCAAAGTGTCTAGTGCAAAATGGTAAACAAAGAAAAGGAAGTGTCTGGAACAGTTGGAAGAAATTGGGAAATTAAATGAAAACCATGAAACTATTAAATCTATTAAATGAAATTCAATGGGGCCCATTGCGACCCCGGTTTCCGGTGACGCCGCCTGCTTGATCTTCTCCAGGAGCACTTGACTATCTGGCCGTCGACCCAAGTTCAGGACCACCCAATCGCCGGTGAATGCACCATTTGCACATTTTCTCGCTGTCAATTCAGAAAGAATTGTCAGCGCCACAGCTAAGGCAATAAGGGCCAGCGAAATTGCGATTGAAGACAGCAAGATGAGTGAGACTCTTTCATTGAAGTTCTCAATATCGGAAGGCTTTCCTCCCTTGAATGTTGGCGTGATAGCAACTTGAAACAGCAGCATCGATAGGACCCAGCCCTCTAGCAAATTCACCACCGGAGTTTTCCAAGGCAGCAATCGCATGTGCGACAACAAGAATGATGAAATGACAAGCGTTACCATTGCTGCTTGGGCTGGAGGGAAATCTGTTGCAATAACTACGCACGATGACAGCAATGTCCCACGAGCCAAAATTGGCACCCCATACCACCAGCGGTACATCGTGAAGCGATTGACCAAGAATGAAAACCCAGCAACTCTTTGAGTCTTGCTGATACTCCACTTGGGAATGTTCCATACTGCCCAGGTGCACACCCCTAAGAAGCCCAATACAAAGGAAATGAGCAACACCAGGCCGGTAACCATCATCGCCGAATGCTCCCCGCTATTGCAAAAGACCCCTGCATGTTTCAGCAGGCTTTGTTCCCCATTCGGATGCTCATAGCACATCAGAGGCTTCAACGCCAACGCGCTCATGGTACCAAAGCCCTCTTGCAAAAAATGCCCAATGACGTTCATTGTCCTGACCCATGATTGCTTCGGTTTGATCTTGCATAACTTGCGAAGCCATGGCAACCATGAAGTCATGAGGAAGCAAAGGAGTAACCAAAGAACCCCGGCAGGGAAAAGCAAAGTGGTCCCAATGTAGCGCAGTGATGTAGGTACACTGATGAAGCATGTGATGGCAAAACCCTCGAGGTCAAGCAAGAGCACCTGAGACGGACCAGCAATAGCTTTGAACGCCTCTGGCCACGTGACCGTGGTCAACCCTACAATTGCAATGGATTGACATAAGCATCCAGTGATGCCAACAATCATCCCCATCGCTTCCACTGGTGTTGCTGTGGCGGCTATCTTTGGGCTCATCACATAGAAGGCAATGGTCAGACCAAGAAAGAACAAGCAGCAAGCAAAAGACCTGAGTGGCTCGACGGTCTGAAGGTTTATGACAGCAATCGCCTATGTATCAGAAAATCAATTTCGCAATCCATTCTGCCATCAGAAAAAAGGGAATTCGAAAACTTACGTGGCATCGGCCAAAGGCACCACATGACACCGACACCACCAGAGCAAACAACACACTCATCACCACTCCACGATGTCCCCCGAGGACAATCTGCACAGGGAATCGAAGTCACTTCACGTTCACCGGCACACTGTCCAGGCATGCCGCCAAGGCAATGCTCTGAGCTCTGGCATTTGAAAACTTCAATGGGCTTTTCTTCCGTGCTGAAATATCCTTTCAGAAGCTTTGGAACGAATTCTTCGCCCACAATCGACTCTCCTGTCTTCAATGATGTAAGGTTTGATCCAAGGGGGCAATGTAAACCTTCACTGCATGGCACGCAGTGAGCCTGACCTTGGCCTGAACTGTCACCAGAAATGTTGGCCGACGTCTCCGTGTCTATGGTGCCTTCTGTGCATACGCAATCACGAAGCGATGCCGCACCGACACTGTAGGTTGAAGTGCCCAGGGGGCACTTTATGCATCCGGTGAAACCTCGGTGAGACGCGCCCAAGACCTTGACTTAAAACACAAAAGCTGTGATGGTGTGGAACGTATGGGGAACTTAGTGCATGTTTGAAACCTGAATGAAGAGTTACCACTTTTGGATACTTTTGGAACATGTTTGCATGTTGAGAATGATAAAGGTCACTTTTTGCTGCACTTATCTTGTTAAAGCACCTTCTTGATCTTGGTAGTGACCAAGCCGACAGCGCTTGCAGGACGTGCTGCCGTTCACATCCTGGTACTCCCCCGCATTGCAAGGGTCACACTGCAACGAAGCACCCGAAGCTTGCTTGCTGCCCGATGGACAAGGACGACAAACAAAAGTCAAATCCTCGTCAATCAATTTAGAAGAGAACCTACCTGGCAGGATGCATTGAGAGCACATGCGAGCAAGCACTAAACAACGCTGACAAGCACGTCAAGGCTACAACCTCCACCCTGCCTGACGGACATGCTTGGCAGGTCAACCCACTCGTATTGCTCCGATCTTGCATGAAGCTCTTGGTTGCTAGATGATACAGGCCAAAGCCGGCAAAGCACTTGGTGGGGTCAGGCAACCAAGTTTGCCAAATATCCGCATGTCTTTGAACCCATCGACAAGCTACATCAGAATGCGAGCCCCCTCCAGGGGTAGATTGGTTGGGGGTGTTTTGGGTGTCTTGAGCGCTTTTCTCAACAAAAGATTTTGAAGGCAACAATAAATAAACAACAAAACCCCTTGTGCAAAAGTTGCCCCAGTTGCCCCCTTTGCGATCCCGGTGCCTGTTTGAAGCTGATCTCGCAGCATCTCATTGACAGCTTCCATGTCAATGAGGAAATTTCGAACCAGTTGTTCTGCAGAAGGAGCCAAGGCTTGCAGGTCCTTGCAGCGTGATGCGACTGAAAGGAGCCAGTTAGGCTTCCAGAACCTCTTTACTAGAACATGTTGCAACCAAAGTAGGTAGGAGGCACTCTGAACTGCGCTCTTTCCGACCATTCCCTTTCATGTCCGTGCGTTTGTTCACAGCGCGGCGTTAGGGAAGGTGATGAAGCCTAGATTCCCTCATTTCTCTACCGTGAGATTCTACTGAGTATTCTACGGCATGCCCCAACCTGTCCTTGCTGACATACTTATCTATAGATAAAGCTGACAGGGAATTTCGTTGATCTCCACGCGCAAATGCTGTTCGATCAAACGGAGGGAAGGTAATCTCCATGGGATTCAAGGAAAGGAAGGTTGGATCAGGCACCTCGGTAGGAACCTTTTTGGACACATCACATTCAGATCATTGGGCAGGAATGTAGGGTTACATCTAGACATCTAGAATCAACCATAGAAGTCTAAACAAAATCAACTTGACAAAGCTCCGATCAGCTCAGATCTACCTTCGGTTTGTCTTTCACATTGACATGTGTGTGTGTGGCAGATGTGGCAAAATAAACGGCAAGATACCCACCAGTAGAAAGTACTGCGATGTTGCAGCGGCAGCTTGGTGAAGCGGTCCCAATCGATTGCAACAACCGGAGACAAAGGCATGTTCCAACCCGCTGCCTTCTGCATCGTTTCTTCCATGTTCCAACCTCCGGTGAAGAAGATCACGCACTTTGATGCATCATCCTCGGAATCTTTTGAAACCCAACCTACAGATCCCCAGCATGAACATCCCGCAAAAATTCTGAATGTATACGTGCATCATCAATTAATCTCAACTATCAACATGTATGATATCTGCAGGCTGTATGCTGACATGTCGGATATGTTGTGGATGATTGTGACCAATGTGGACTCCAAGGATCTCGGCATGCCGGTGGGTACCAGAAGTAACCATCCCAGCATCTGCCTTTGATCGTCGTGCCTGTCTCCGCAGTCACCGTCTCTACGCCATCCCAGTCCGCTGTGAACTCCACGTAATGCGTCATGGCCTCCACTGTACAGCGTTTCGTTAAGTGACCGCTGTTCCCGCCTTTCCCTTCGGTTTAGCTTTGGATCCAAATGAAAGAAACACACCAAAACAAAATAAAAACAGACAGTACTTGGAAATAATACGCGTTATCATCCTGTGCTTCATATACATAGACCTGAGAAGGGGCAGCGATGACCAGCTCTCATAATGAAAACCCCTGAGCACAACAAATTGCGTGCGTGTAAGGCCTTCAACATTGAATTCCTCCAGTTGTAGCGTAGTCCTAACTGCACAGAAAGTTTTGAGGCAAACGTTCTGAAATTCTGTTTGTGGTTTTCGTATCTTCCGTCTCTCGAGCAATATATGTTTCTCCATCTATTTGTTTCACTGGCTAGAAACCGGACTGAGGGGGAACCGATACCTTATTGCAGCAAACTTCCTGCGCATTACACCTTCAAAACTGGAGTTCTTCCCGGAAACACCACGACTGAGAGCATTAAACTTCCTGCGCAGCACACCGCAAAATTGGAGTTCTTCAGTTGCAGCAAACCCGCAAGCAGCACGACTGCGCATACTCCAGCGGTCGCCATTCCTAAAACTCTGTTGGTCAGCTACGTCGCTCTAGTCTCTTAAGGAAAATATCTCGCTCTATCAATGTCTCTGACTGGCTACATAGCTCACCCACGAAAACCCAGACCGAGGGGGAATCGATACCCTATACCGCAGCCAATTTCCAGCACATAATGCCTTCAAAATTGGAGCTCTTAGAAGGAACATGCCGTTCTTGGCTTAACATCAACATGGCCCCAACAAAGCCTCCAAGAGCCTAACATGGATCAACATAGGCCCAACATAGGCTCCATAAATGCTCAACGATGTCCCGACATGATCCAAACACGGCGTGTTCCTTTTGGGCCGGGAAAGCGGCTAAAAAGGAACACGCCGCTCTTGGCTTAGCATAAGCTCAACATCGCTCGCATATATCTATCTGTTTATCTATCTATTTATTTATCTGTTGCTCTATCTCTTTATCTATCTGTTTATCTATCTATCTGTCTATCTATCTATCTATCTATCTATCTATCTATCCATCTATCCATCTATCTATCTATCCATCTATCTATCTATCTATCTATCCATCCATCTATCTCTCTATCTCTCTATCTCTCTATCTCTCTATCTCCCTCTCTATCTACCTAGCTATCTATCTAGCTATCTAGCAATCTATCTACTCTCCATCTATCTATCCATCCATTTATCTGTCTAGCTATCTATTGAGCTCTTCCCGTCTATCTATCCAAAAATCTATCTGCCCATCCATCCATCGAGCTGTCTATCTCTCACTCTCTCCACCTCTCTGTGTCTCATTTCTAGCGATCTATCCCTCCATCTATCTACCGATCTACCTGTTCATCTACTTACTTACACATCTATCTATCTGTGTATCTATCTGCCTGTCTATTGATCTATTTGTCTACTTTTTTAGCCCCAATATTTGTCCACCAATTTATCCCCAACACCACTCTCGGTCTACTCCATGCATCTGTTATCTGTTTATCTATTGATCTATTTGTCTACTTTTTTAGCCCAAGTATTTGTCTACCTATTCAACCCCCGACCTGGTGCATTGCCCTACAATACGCTCCACAGACTCCTCGGGTGGTGTCCCTGTGCCCGGGTGCGTGTGTTTCTGGCCACGTCCCTTCCTCTTCTGCTTCTTTTTCTTCTTCTTCTTCTTCTTCCTTCTTCTTCCTCATCCTTTCCTCCTTCAGCAGGAAGGAGTTCATTGTCTTAAAATTCTGGCTTGGCTACTTGAGCAGCGTAAGCCAACATGTTCCAGACACATGCTTTTGTTTTGTTTTTGTTGTCGAACCTGTTGTCGGGTAGTAGGTTGTCACAAGTGTTGCGGGCAAAGGAGACGACAGTGAGAAAGTTGTGCATCAGCTACACGATGTGGATGTGATCCATGCATCAGATGGAACTTCTGCAGCTGTTTCTTGGGATGGAAGCGTTTACTTGATTTTTTCGCGCCCTTTCTTTTCCATTCCTCCTGTATTGTTTTTCCTTTGCTATGCTCACTGGAGCGCGTTTGCCAACATGTTACCTCTTCGACTAAATGGCAAGGTCTTTTCTTTCATGCTGCAGCCTGTGATATCATCCCGGTCCCTTTCTAGGCTTCCATCTGAGCAGATGAAATTGAGAAACAGGAGAATACCCTGCGAAGTGCGCAGGTGCAATGGGAGGAAGGAGAGCCACTCTGAAGAGATCCGCAGCGATGATCCTGGTGACAAAGAGAGTCTTCTGCCTTCAGTTGATACGTTGTATTTGCGATCCAAAGCATCAATTGCGGCGGATGAATTTTCATAGAGTTGTGAAGCCAGGCACCAAAATTTCACAGGTCCCTGATGCAGCTGCATTGTTGCTCTCTGTTAATCTGTATAGCACGCCTCACGTCACAAAGGCTCATATGACCAGGGGTAAAGTGACTGGTACTCTGGTGAAGCCAAAATTTGGCGGCAGCGTGTCTTTGTACTTGAGGACTAATAGGTCAAGTTGATGGATCGTATTTCTGTTTCTTGCACTGCTTTTGCTAAAGTAGGTGCTGAGCTTCCTACTGTGGATGCCATCCGTGCGACGTTGACGTCCAAGTTGCCCAGGTTTTTGCAATTTCTAATTGGATGGATGACTTTCGGTTTGGATGGTTGTAGGCTGTGTCGTGCAAATTCAGTTGTCACTATCTTGTTTCCGTTGCGCAGGGTTTTAAAAATGCTCCTTTTCTGGTTTCTTTGCGGGTCTTGCCTTTTGTGGGTGTCCTTGCTGTGTTGTTTTCCTTGTTTTTCTTCTCTCTTTCTTTCTTTCTCTCTCTCTCTCTGTCTCTCTCTCTCTCACCCTTTCTCTTTTTTCTCTTTGTGTTGTTTTCGTTGTATTTTTTTCCTTTTTTCTTTTCCTTTCTTTCTTCTCTTTTTTTTTCTCTCTTTTTTTCCTTTTCCTGTCTCTTCCGCGTCTCTTCTTTGTTTCTTTTTTTCTCCTCATCTCTGTGTTTCATCTCGTTTCCCTGCCGGTTTCTCTTGCTGGTTTTGTCTACCGGCAGGTTTTGTGTCTGTGCTGGCTCAAGTCCTTGCTGCATGTCATCTTTTCGTGACGAGTTTCTTTCTTTTCTTCACCTCACCCGTCAGCAATGTGGTTGCTGCCCTGTAAACATTGCTTTTGCTGGTCTGGTTAAAGCTAGCTGGGATATCCTCTTGAAACATGCCTTGCAACTGCGAGACCCTTTCCCTCGTGTGAGACATCTGGACAACAATGGGCCACGTGCATTTCACACCTTGAAAGGTGCCCTTTGCGATTCTGTGAGGTTTATCACTGCTCAAGCTGACTTCCTTTCTTCTCCCACCTCTGATGAAGCTTCTGCGCCTCTTTGCCTCAAACTTGGGTTTGGCTCTCCTTCCGCCACTGGATGCTTGGATGCTCATGGGGTCACTGTTAAGATGCAGGTTTTGCTCCGCCATCCTACTTCCATTCAAGCTGCGTTTGCCAACACAGGCTTGCATGCTATTGGTTTGGCAGGGGTCAGGTTAACTATTGATTTCGTCTGCCCAGTGACTGCGGATACAGACTTATTTCTGTGGGCAAGGCTGCTTACAACAGTGTTGCAGTTGCATTCCAGAATGACTTTTCGAGTTGCTTCTCTAAGGTTGACGGGATTGGTAGTAACAGGAGGCTCTGGCTGAAAGTTCAGCCTTGTTCAGGCCGCTGCTTCTTTTGGCTGGCATTTGCCAGCCAATGACGAAGCGCGTTGGCATGAAGAAGTGGATGGTATTGACAGGGGTGCCCCAACCATTTTCTCACAGGCAAGTGGACAAATTCCAATTCTGTTTTGGATGGGTGATGCTAATCTGCAGCCTTCGGCATTGGGAAAGTGAGCGGACCCCAAGCCTTCTCGTGACAGACGGTGGGAATCCATGATTAAGAAGTGGTTTGTGCTTTTGTGGAACCCACCAGGTGGCGTGCCATGCCCCCTTTTTCTTCCACGCAGGCGGAACATTGTATCTTTGGTACCTCCTGGTACTCACCACTGTAACCGCGGGCCTGGTGTAAGTAGAACTCGTGATCTTTTTCATGGATCTCCTGATCTTTCCGGCTCTGTGGTTATTCGCAATTCTTTGCATTGTAAAGCGGCAGGTTGTGACTGGGATTATTGTTTTGAATTTGCAGGTAGTGACCATTTTCTTTTGGAGGCCACTTTTGAAGATGTGAGTGTGAGATTGGATGAGCCAAGTGCGATCCAAATGCCCCATCATTGGCACGAGCCAAGTCTGTGGGAGCATGGGTTCAATAGATGCTCTTCTGTTTTGCTGGGCCTTGACGAGTTAGTCCGCGCTTTCCAGGAGATGGTTCAACCTAGCGTTTTCCGTAAGGCCTGTCTGCCTGTTTGGGTAGCGTGGGCGGTGGAAGTGCTCACGTTGTTACTTTGTGTTGTGGAATCCTGTGTGCGAGATGGCTGGGTGCCCTTTGCTGACCTTGAGGGCCGGAAACGGAAGAGGCAGTCCCAACAAAACCTAGTTTTCAGTGACGAAGATGACTTTGAGGCCATGTTGCTCAGGAACCAAAGAGACCATGGCTGACCCCAGTCCTGCGTCAAGACTTGTCTCAACTACCTCAGACCTCTTACTCATGATCCTCCTGGCAGGCTACAGTGTGACAGTGCCCTTCTTTCAAGGGCGGACAGTCACCAAGCCTGGTTCATCATCTTACGGTACAAGGAAGTTGGCCAATTTCTTTCACCCAATCTTTCCATGATAGTATTGAAACTGCAGCTACCAAACAGGTCCAAAGTGCGAGGGCTCACATTGGCCAAGGTGTTTTTGATGGCCGGACTGATGTCGCCGAATGGCACAGAGCTGCAGAAGGAACCAACACTTCAAGAGCTTGTACACCCTTTTTGCTCCACAAGCTTCTGTTGAAATGTGCTAACTCTTCTTGGCGGTCTGTGGCTTCGAATCTGCAAAACCTATGTGGGCCCTCTTCCTTATGCTACTGTCCGTTTTTATGGAGATTTCGTTTCTTAACCACTGTTTTCAAGAAGGGTGCGCTTGCCCACGCCTCTTCTTATCGGTCATCGCCGATGCTGACCTGCATGGTCTGTTAAAACAGGAACTGCTTTTGCACTGAACAGGAAGTTCTTTGTTCAAATGTGTTGACTCTGTTCAGACCGGGTACAGGTTCGATGTCATGCTTCACCAACTTACCCTGCATACTTTGCAAGATGAATACCGATTCTGGAAACGTGCTTTTATTTTTTTTGCTGATTTTGTTCATGCTTTTCCGAGGGCCTGGAGGGCCTTGATTTTAGCCGAGGCTGGTGTTTCTGCTGGTACTTGGGCTTTGCTCGCTTCAATTTTGAAAGAAGATTAGCGGCGGATCACACTGAGTGGTGATTCTGTGGTTCATAGGTCCCGCATTCCTGAAGGCAGCAAATTAGTTTGGCCCAGCTTGTTTCAACTTGCTCCCAAACACATTGATCAGCAGGCTTCGGCAGGCCAACTGTGGAGTAGCCACGTCGGGCTGGATGCCTGCAGCTTCGGCTTCCCACAAATGGATCGGCCAAGGGGTACCCAACCAAGCTGAGGCAGCATTTTGGCAGGGAGGGTAGCAGACCAAGAGACGCTTCCACCTGCATCTTGTTTGCGGCAGTCGCCATCTTTGGAAGCAACTTGTGCGCGAGCTTTGGATCTGTGTGATCCTCATAGAATTCCTGTTTTTTTCACGCTGGTGATCCAGTGTTTCTCGCTTCCAGTCGAGGTGAGGCTGTGCGGGTCTTATCTATTGTGGCCGACTGGGCGCATGACGTCAAGGCTTCTTCGCACCTGGGGTCACATAAGACAGTCGTGCAAGGTCTCTCTGGAAGCACAGAGGGGCCGACATTTTTGGCGCAACCTGTGTTTTTCCGTGCCGTCCTCCAATCCTCCCTGCTCCTTTGATGCAAGTTTCCTCTCACAAGTGGTTGGGGCTTAGGTGGTCTGTTTCTGGGGAATGGATGCACCACGCTATGGTTACTGTGGCTGCTTGCTCTTCTATGGTGAATTTGTTGCGTTCTCTTATGGATTCCTAAAGGGTTCCACGTGCTGTTGTCGCAGTCCTCTTTGAGTTGTCAGTGGAAGCAACGCTGAGATTTGGGCGTTGGTTGTGGGGGCTTTTTTTAGAAGTCCAAAGTTTTTTGACTGCTACATTCGAGAACTGGGCAAGGCAGCTTCTTGGCGCAAAGCCTTGGAAGAACGCTGCTAGTTGTCAAGCAGATCTGGGTGGGACTTTTGATGCTTCCGACCGTATTGCTATTGATATTGCTTCAGTACGGCGAAAACTTCGGACTTTAGAAGGTACCATTGCTGGCCGTCTTTCCCGTTCAAATCATGTTTCTGTTTTTCCCTCATGGGCATCCATCTCTCGTCAATTTCTTGCCAGCAAAGATATCCGTGACTGGCCCAGTTGGGTGGGCAAAAGGGCTGCTGAGACTGGAGCCTACAAGCAGTGCGCGCAACAAACTTTAATGAAAACCCATTTGAAACACAGTCTGGGGCTCAATTTGCCGTGGAATGTCCCGCGCAGCCGAAGAGCTGTCATTCAAGTCCGACGGGATTATGTTGTATTTGGGCACGTAAACGGCATGAAGTCCAAAGCCAGGGTCCAGGAATGCATCTTATGTCAGAAGAGGGTATTCTAATGTGAAATTTCACATTGTGAACGCTTGCGCTGGCTTGGTAGATGTCCGAAAGCCCTGTCTCGTTTATTTCCCGCAGGGGCTTGATTCAACCATATTTGGCATTCATCCAAGCCATCCTGGCTACATGCCGATGGCTTTGTTTGCACAGGAACTAGTCCGGCGAGCGCGGTTATTCTGAAGGAATGAATCTGAAGCTGTTTGGGCCTTTTACTGAGGTAAGGGTCCTGCAGACCCATGTTGGGGTCCCTGCTATTCCATGATTGGATGCTGTTGCTGCATGTTGGAGCCCCCCAATTTGTCCTTTGGACTTCGAACCAACCAACCAACCAACTGAGACTGGAAAAACGGGCCCGTACGGCAACCCCTGCCCCCAGACCCCTAATCTCTCACTACGTTCAAAAAACAACTAGCCAGCTTGTCCGGCTGGCATTCCTAATATGGGAATAAATGGGCATGTTTATGTATTCCTATTTGAGAACAGCTACAACATGTTTCAGTAGTCTTACGCATCGACCTGTCATGGTTTAAATTCCTGCCTGGCTGACCATAAGCCGCGTTTCCTGACAAGGCTTCAACAAAGATTTGTCCACCGAGCTCGGTGGATCAAAATACTTGGCTGCAGATGTCCAACTGACATTGAAGCCTCGGTAGAACTCCAAGATCAGACCTAAGAGCGGAGCAGAGCGGAGCACGGAGAACAAAAGTGTGATGGTGCATGACTGTATGATACTGCATGACTGTTCAAGCACTGTCTAACGCGTTGAAGCCCCAAAATGGGTCTCCATGGAGCAATCGTCTATGCTACATCAACATCAACAGCTCTGCGCAAGAAACCTTCTTCGTTGTACGCAGCTTGTTGAATGTTGGATGGCAAGTACATGGAAGTCTTGCCCAAGTAGCCTCAGCTTCAATTGAGGGACAAAACACCAAACTCGAATCGCGCTATTTCCAAACATGAAAAACATGTTAGAAGCACTTGACCTGTTGAAAAACAACACCCAAATAGCAAAAGCACAAACAAGATCAAACAGCATCAATCAACATCCCCTTGTATGGTCATGCTTGAGATTGTTTAAATACTGTATGTCAAGGTACACACTCACAGTATGTGCACCTTTCCGGGGGTGCGAACTCACGCTACGGATGGAAGTCCAAGTTTGTGCACGAAGTCTCTTTGGAATTAAGAGCAAGGCAACGACGTGTGCGCAACGTTCTCAATTCCATCAAAAACACACTTCACAAGAAACAGCGTAAAATAACCTCACCCAAGAAACAACCTTACCTGCAAGCCATCAGTGAACTGAGCAAAACTTAAAGTTCCCACATGTTTCAACCTAGAAACCCATGTTGCCCAGGTTCTGTGGTGCATTTTGCGGATAATCACGCTCTATGGCTGCCCACGTTGAAGCATATGCCTCGGTCCAGCCCTCGACGCTGATGTGGTTCTGTGTCGTCATAGATGCGGAACATCCACGGTCCTGTTGTTTCACACAGCTTGCTACCAAGTTTGGTATGGTATCTGACCACTGGAGTCTGCATGACAAGTAGGGCTCTAGTGGCTTGTGCACCCAATTCTCTTACCGAAAGAACTTTCAAACTTTTTGGATCCTGAACGTTGGTCGGAGTCGCACAGCCTGTGAGGGCATAGAATCCGTCCTGGGATGGGGTGCTGACACTACACAAAACATCCAAAAACCTGTGAGATAAAATGACCACAGAAGGCTGCACTCAAGAGGCCGGAAGACGCAAGTAAAACAAGCAGAAAAGTAAATGCTGACATAATATCTGAAACCAGAATCCACAGTGCTTGGTCCAGGGCCTCTTTCCACCGTGTTGAAACCAATCTTTTCTGCCAGAAGAATGCGCACCACTGCTGCAGTCACATATCCAGCAGGCCAACCATTGACCCAAATGCCGATGGGGTACAAGCCCTGCTCGCCGACCAGGCTTTTTCTTTCACTTTCGGGGACTGCATCTGGAAGGCACTGCGGATATGACGTGCCATGGGCATGCTGCAAAGTTCTGGAGATGATCAAGACACCTACCAAGCATACGAGGTTGCGATAGGATCCGCGCGCGGCCATAAATGATGGCTAAAATGGCTAAAACTTCCTGCATGCCTTCTTGAAGCCAAACCGCATGAAAGCAGACACAGACACATTCGGTGGATTTATCTAACCTACCTAGCGGCTAGCACAGCTTCCAATCTTCTGGACGAGAGCTTACATTTTGTCTCGGGAGAGAAGTGCATTATAATTTCGTGCTTGTACCGCATTACGGCATCTTAGATGTTTCATTTGATCCATGTTTGATCCATGTTCATCCGGTGGCGCCAAGTGTCGGAGTGTCACCAAACCACCGCCCCAAACGAGCAGCGTGCCTAGGCTTTCGAAATCTTTCGAAGTGCAGGTTGGGTGAGTTGGCCAGTTCGCACTCAGACTGAACAGTTGGATGTACAAGATGCACTCTATTTCAACCTTCTGCGAACTTCCGCTGAGATTTCAATTGCTTTGATCATCTTTGATCCCTTTGATGCCTTTGGATCTCTTTTGATCCCTTGAGCCCCTTTTGTCTTTGCCTTCTAAAGGCAACTACAATAGATGCCTGGAGAACCAGAACTAAATGGCATGCCTACCTTGAGTATTGCGCTCTAAGCGTGCCTCTTCGTCTCGTGTTGCAATGTGTTGCACCCTTCCAAGATGTCAGTGCCTTCTGGCTTGAAGCCCGACCCCATCCCAGGCGGCACCGACTATTCTCATCTATTCTCATCTATTCTCGGCGTCACTGCGTGAGGTTGCTGTCGTGGCGTCTACCAGAGAAATCTAGACAAATTATCGTTTTGACTCGGCCTACACTTCATCAGCATTGATTTCGCCATCAGGTGTTTTACAGTCTAAGCCACACGTCCTCAACCTTAGTCGGCCTTTGTCCTACATCTAGAAAGAAAAAAAGGTGTCCGCAAGCGTTTCTGTCTTTACGAGCGCACATGGGAAAACCATGGACAGCCACGGCAAAACTGTCCCCGCTATTGAAACATATTGAAACCATTTGTCACCGCTGTTTATCACTCTTCCATCACTGATTCACCATAGCCCAAGGTTTTGCAAAGTCACTCTAGAGATTCCAACGAACCTCCAGTGCCCACAGGCGCATCTGCCATCAGCATTCGTGCCAAGACCTAACATTTGGAGATTTGAAAAAAATCAACAGTGTTGTCGAAAATGCTCATTGCTCATTTGGCATTTGCAAAGCTTAAAGTGCTGGCAACTGTGTGTCAAGTTGTGCAGCGCAGCACTTGACGAGCTAGATCTGCAGCTGAGCTTCCTCAGCCCAACCCATTCCGTAGAAACCTGAACCGATTCACTGCAGCAAAGGTGGCTCTTCCAAGTCGAGACAAAACGGAAAAACCATGAAAAACCAGAACCGACCAGCCCTCCTGTGAATACTGAGACACGGCCTCGCTGTATCAAAGGGATGCTGCCGAAAGCCAGTCTTTATAAATGCAACACGCTTAAAGTGATGTATGAAGTGTGCTGACTAGTCGTCCATTTTTCAACATTTTCTAGGTTAAAACTGCAGTATAGTCACACTGTTGCCTGTTGCTTGAGCAATGCCGCGTCGCCACAAAAAGCTCAAGGTGCTTCACCAGCGTTGCGTGCATCAATTTCCCAATATTTCCCATGTGACTATCCGGATCTATCCGGCCTATCCATTCCCACCATTTGAAGCATTTTGAAGCTGCTTAAAACAGGAGGTGTCGTGTCTCCGGCGCCTTGAATCCGAAATAGGCCCGTCCACCAAATCTCCGCCTCAAGCACACCATCTGAATCCAAACATATCCAAGCTAGGTCCAAGCTACAGTTTCTGGAAGGGCCAGATGTTGCATTCGAAATCATGAGGAAAACAGAAACATCTGCCCAGGTCATGGAAAACGATAGAAACTGATGGGGGTTTCTTTTCAGAAACTGATGCTATGCAGAAGTCCCTCAGTTAGCCCAGCTGCCTATGATATCTATGCTGCCACTTCCCTGTGATTTGAACAAGCTCTGATCCAGCTGACGCAAACACGCAGATTTCCGTTCGAACAAGTTTGAGCCAGTGAAAAGGGTGCGAAACCTTGTGGGTTGTTCAGTTGGAATTCAAGATTGCAACTGAAGGAAGATCCTGTGGCTGCAAGGAAACTGCAATCACACCTTTGAAGGATCTCAAGAGGACCTACAGTACAATGTCTGCCATCATAGTTTCTAATCTGTCTGGATCCCTTTCTGTCACTTAATTTCGACTTTTGTCTCTATCTGCCTATATGTTACATTATTATACATTGTGTACGTGATTATGTTAAGCAATATATTTTTTGCTAAGAGTCGATGATACTTTGCTCATCGTCCATGACCTTCTCTGCCAAATAGCGCTCGATGGCCCATTGGAACCACAGAGCGTAGAGCAGAACTCCTTCACGGCCTCCTCTGAGCGCTGAAGTCGTGAAGGATTTTGCTAAAGGCAGATGGCATGAAAGTCAGATCATGCAATGAACTTCAAACGGAACATGTTGAATATCCAAATTGTGGCAAGACCAGGAAAGCAGGAAAGTCAAAGTTCGAAAAGTAACTTCAGCCACAGCGGTGGTCTCCTAGTAGAACAGACGAATCATAGGTTGTCCCATGTTGCAGTCGCTTCAATTTCTCGCGAAAGTCAAAGATCAGCCACATGCGCCTCCCGACCTTCACAACAACCAAACAATTTGAGAACGCGTCCGCCCCTTTCCCTGTCAAGGCCATTCAAAAAACGCGAAGTGATAAAGAAGTGACATGATACAGAACAAAAACCTCAAGTTGTATGCCAAATAGCGTGAAACTCTGTTCTGAAACTCACGGTGAACAAATTCTCTGTGCCTTGCCTCGGCCGCAAAAAATATGTAACAGAAGCATGAACATATATGAATCATATGAACATGCACACTTCGAGAGCAAGGCCCGATATGACTCTCTTGGTTTTTTCCATGTGTTCCAGCGGATTCCAGCCGCTTTGAGACATCGAGTCCAAGGTACACAAAGGCTCCAAGCATTGCATTCGGGCAGCACAATGGGTCGCTGTCCACCTGGAATGGAATGCATCAAGCTCCGCATATGTTCGAAACTCGAAGAATGCAAGACATTACTTGCAATTATAGCTAGATTCAACCCTTGATCAAGCGCCAGTTAGTACGACATCTGAAGATCAAGTGAGACTGCTTTTCCCTCAGCTGAAACGAACCGAAGTCAACGCATGCGACGCACGGCTCTTTTGCACAGGAAGCACATGTGCTACGAAAATGACAGTGGACCGAGCCGTGGACGCGGAGGTTCATATCAAGTTGGCGCTCAGTGCTGACTTCGTGCTGACTTCGTGCTGACTTCGTGCTGTCAGCTCAACGTGAGTTATCGTGAGTTCATGTCACGGAAGTTGCCAACGCAGATGTCGGATGTAGATGTTGTCGATGTTGTCGATGTCACAGAGCTTCCAGTGCGATCACGGCACCAACTTGTAGATCTTTGACATTTCTAGCAAGCTCCAGGGAGCTGTTTCATACTGCTCGGCCTGACCAAAAGCAAACAAATGATGCTGAAGAAAGCCACAGGAAAACAGGAAACGAAGTGCACAACCCGAAAAGCAAGATTAAGGGAATGATCCAATGCAAGTAGCATGCACAGGACGATACGATGCGGGGTCCAAGAAATCTAACTTAGTTTAAACACATTTACTGCGCCATTGCTGTCACATCTGTCAGATCTGTCACAGTCACATGTCAAGGCCATCGCAGTTCCAGTCCTGGAAGACTTCTGCCACAGGGATCAATCCCTTTGAGGCGGTGAGTTCCACAATGCGACGGTCCAAATCGCCTTCAGAAAAAGAAACGAATAGCTGGCGGAAAATGGCAGAAAGATGCAGAAAGGTGAAGTGATGTGAAGTGGACAGATTGAACATATTGAGACAGGAAGTTGAAGTTGTTACGTTGTTTGTTTTGCAGACATTTTGACTTTATGCCCTTTTGTGTTTTGAATCTGGCTTCATTGAGACCCTTCGTTTCGAACCCTCGTGTATAGGAGGAAGAACCTGTGAAGATCATATGTATTATATATATATATTATATTCATTTTTTGTACTTTAATATCCAATCTCTGCAAACCTTGTTGTCTTCTCTTCTTCCGCGTATTTATTGTTTGATTTTGAACCAGTCTCCAATGTGTACTGCTCTTTTTTTAAGATGCCTTAGCTCTCCCAAAATAGATTCGTGTAGCCCATACAAATCTTGGGCCTTGCCAATGTTCAATTTTTTTGGCGGCCATCTCAGATCATTGATCTACCGGTTCTGAATCATCCTAAAACCTATATCATCTATATCACTTTCAGGCGCCAAGAGACGACCATGTGGCTTGGATACTATACGCAACGGGCCCCTTCTTGGATAGATACTATACATTTTCTATACCAAATACTATGCGGACAGAATCGCAGTGTGAAATCGCAGTGTTCCGCAGAATTCCACCACAAATTTCCACCAGGGCATGTCGCATTCAGCCTTTGTGATGTGTCCGTTGGTCCTGTTTTCGGCTCTGAAATCGATTCATTGCGCCACAAATGGCGATCTGATTTTGAAGCTGTTAGTTGCGACAATGGCGACAATACGTTGGTCCGATTGGATGTTTTTTTCCTGGGCCTGGTCATGGTTCGGAATCTAAATAAAGTACTCGACCAAACTAGCACCACGTTCGTCCAAAACGGGCTTGGAATCCTAGCTTCTGGGCTCCAAAAACTCCGAACACATGTCCAAATATGAGGACGTGCATTCAGCATAGGTTTCAAAAAAAATTGGGTTGGCTCTGTTCAGCAACCTCGCCATGCGGAATCACAAGAGCCGTCAGCCTATCGCCATATTGGAGGTTTCCTGTTGAGCAGTTGGAACCTGAAAGAGGAAACCATAGGAAACCATAGGAAACCATAGGAAACCATTTGATTCTAACATATTCTAACGCCAAAAGGGCAACCCGCCTAGTTCAAAGCTGTAGTGCAATGCAGCGCTAACTTGAAATGCGATTACCTAGATCGAACACCTCTCTGCCCTCCATGTGGGCCGACTTTGCGACGAGCACGTGCATGCAATAGAAAAAATCTCTACAACATGTGCGTCATTTCTTTCATTTGTCTTCTGATCTGGGCTGCGGTGTAGGCATGTCTGGCTCGTGAATGAGAATTCCTCGGATTTCTACAATGTCTATCTGATGTATGGTGCACTGAACACCTATCACTCGATCCATCAAACATGCAGGTCATATGTCAGAAATATGTAAAATACTAAAAACCTGATCAAACGCGTTTAAGATGTTGAACATGCGCAATAATTATCTTAGTCAATTTTAAAGAGATGAGTACTTAGTTCCACGAAGTAGAGACAAGATCGAGTTAAAGACGAGATCGAGTAAAATACATGCAATATACATGCAATATAGGTGTGCCATGGCAAACTACGTGTAAGACAGGTGTAAGGCTACATTATGAAGACGTGCTGTAATATTTTGATTGACACTGTCATGAACAGATATACATAATACATATGGAAGATACGAAAGAAACATGTAGGAGGAAGTGAAATGGCTACGTGTCAGGCATATTTGACATGAATAGGAGGAAGAAATGCCGAATATATATATATACCTGGGATGCCAAGATGATATTTGATATGCAAGATATGTGAGATATGTATCGGAGATCCGCCAAATATGCTTTCATGTGTGAAGGCCATCTGCGATTGAGGCAGGTGCAAGATATGAATGGGCCAGGTTTACTGTTCGGGGTTCAACAGCTGCCCAGTGACCCATCCACTGTAGAAACTTCCATGTCCAGGAAGAGATCAAGGAGGAACAGGTCCTGAGCTACCCAAACAGACCCAACGTTCATGCATTTTAAATGCATTGGATGCACGTTTGATATCCATATCAAAGCTTTGTATGAGTCTATTGGAGTCAAATCATTCAAGATTTGAGTCAGCCAGTACGCCCCGCTTGTTCTCTGTATCTGGTGTAACGAGTCTGGATTTGGACCCCTTCCAGAGAGATTTCAAAGAGAAGCAGTTCGAAAGAGATCAAGATGCAAGACACAGAAAGACATAACTTACACAAAGAAGGGCACAAAGAAGCACAGAAAGCATAGCCAGCATAGCTGCGTAGCTTCTGCTTGTTTCAACATGTTTCAACGGCAGTGAATTAGGGTTGATTAGGGTGGATGGGTAAAGATGGTAAAGGGATGTAAAGGGCCTGTGGCCGCCTTGCGCGCCTTGTCACCAAGCTTCCGTCCCAATGATTTGGCGACAAAATCATCTGTGGCATGTCGTTGGGCTCTGGATTTCTCAAAATTCATCTGCCGAATTCGTTTGAAACAAACCTCCTGGGCGGAGCTTCCGTACACGTCAGCCAGCAATGCCAAATGCACCAACTCCTTCTTGAGGTCTTTCAAGTAATGCTTTGGAAGACCTCGTGACCGGTCTCATGGACTACACTTTGGAGCTTTGGAGTGTATGTTCTCTTGTCGAAAATGAACATGTTGTCATCTGAAAGATTCCCAGCACTTTTTTGGAAAAGAAGGGTGAGAGAAATACTTCAGACCGAGATGCAGTGACCACGAACTCCAGTTCTTGTCGCGACAACTGCACAGAAATGCAAAGAAACTGTCCACAAAGAGCCAGTTGTTCTTCAGAAAAAATCGTTTCTGTCTCAACATAGCCAAGTAGCAGGTGTTTCTGTTTCAACAGCACCATATTTTGCAACAGTTTGTGTGGTTTTTTTCATGGTTTTGGGGTCATGACTCATGATGTCTTGTCAAGTGACGCAAAACTTGAAAATTCACGACAACTTCCGAAAATCCACAAGACATCCTGGTATCATCCTGGTATCATCCATGAAGTTTGTGGAATTCATCACGTCTTTACGTGCAATGCTGCATGCCACTGTCCACCGAGTGATGCAAAATTCATCTGCCAAGGTCCCACCTGCCGTGCAGAGGTCCATTTGGCTGAAATCAATCAGCTGCCTCGGCCAGGAATTCCCAAGTTCTGCAGACCCTACCAGTCCGACTAGTCACCTGCGAGACTCTGCGAGACTCTGCGAGACTCTGCGAGACTCTGCGAGACTCCGAGACTGAGATCTCAATACCACACTTTTTTAGCGCAGGCAAAATGTGGGGGACCGGCTTTCAGGTGTGCCAAATGGATCCAAATGGATCCAAATGGGCTGTCTTGGCGGTGCATAAAGGCACTTGATAGGTTTGGTAGGTTTGTGCGAGGAGGCTTGACTTTCCAGAATGGCCTTGGGGTCGAATCTGTGTGAGGTCTGGACATAAACTACATTACTTGAGGCCAAAGGGAAGGGGATGAAAAAGTATGAAAAGACTTTTTTGGGCAGAGATGTGTAGAGAAAAAGGAGCTGAAAAGTGGCTTTTTAGGTCGCACCAAAACAATCCGCCAAGGTCACTGAAAAACGGCACATGCTAAAGTGCCACATGTCTGTAATCTGAAAATATCTAGGTGAAATCTAAAGGACGCAAGCCCTTCCGCCGTTGGAAGCTGATGAATATGGTATATATGGTATATATGGTATATATGGTATATATGGTATGAATCTGTTTGTTTCATGAAAACCCATGAGAATCCGTAGAGATATGGACGGATATGGATATGATCTACGCAATTGTGATGGGTCAAGCAAACTGCTACTCAACTTTGCGACAAATCACAGCAGTGACAACGCCCAAACAAAAACCATGAGGATGAACGCAGTGGGATTCGAAGACATGAATGTTTCCTTCTCAAACATAGTGCCGCTTGTGGTGTGGCTTGGAAATTGACGACCTGCCAACCTGTTAAATTCCTTCCTCCCAAGAGCTTCTGTCTTTACCTTTGCCTAGTCTCTGGAATGTCACTTGAATTTTCTGCCCAAATGGCCATGTGCACCTGGGAGTAACTAGCTGTAGCTTCAGCGGTTCGTGGTTTCCATTGCTTTCCGGTTTCGAAGCTTCAGTCAGGTCCCTGGTGGTTCCAAAACCTTCCGAGTACGACATGTTTACATGTTCGGTTCTGGGTGAATTCTTTATCCTGTTTTCTTACAGTGGCGGTGGTGGGCTATCAGTAAATGAAGATTGGAATGCAGGTTTCAAACAGTGCACCCTTCAGGTCTTCAGCATTTTCTTGTCAATTCAAGTCTTGCTTTCTGGTCTTTGCGTTGTCTTGAACGTATCTTGAACGTTTAAAGAGTGTAAAAGAAAGAGTATTAAAACATTTATCAAGTAAAGCTGCAAAGTCAAAGACCTCGGATCCCACATGATATTCGCAGTGGTCAAATCCATGTGTACCAAACTCCAGCCATCTGCAGGATCCAAAAAGGCATGGACCTGGGCGCATCGGATGCATCGGATGCATCGCAGTTTCGAACGAGTCGAAACCTGGACATTCGCAGTTTCAATGTATGAACTTACAATGAACTTGCAGCTTGCAATAGCTTTCACCCATCTAGATGCATCTAGATTCTGGATATTTCTGGATCTAGATGCATCCAGTATGTCTGCCATTGCCTGTCTGCCATTGCCTGTCTGCGAGTCTGTAAGTTGCCCACTGCACGCAAGAGGTGACAGAGAAGCAAGTGATTGCTGAGTTGATCCTGACGGAGGAATTCTTCCAGAGTTTCTTGCGCATTCAAGTAGTGCCCAACCTCACACAATGTGCCACAATGTCACACTCATTTCTGCTCCAATTGACCCATCCTTTTTTGTAGAAACTTCTGAATCAGAACTCTAGTGCCATATATCGATAGTAGATATTGATAGTAGAGCAGCTCATAGTGACACAAGTACCATGAAATAGAGACTGTGCAGAATGGGCTGGAATTCAACAGACTTTAACATGTTCAAATCAGAAAACATTCAGAGCCAATATGATCCACAATTTTATTCAAGATGATCCAAGATTTGATCCAAAATAGTCTTGAGCCAAGCAACGTCTTTTAAGACGATGAACGGCTTTTTTCGCGGTTCTGCTCGGAGCTCCTCCAAGTCTTCCACGCAAGCGGCCACTAAGTCGGGAGCGCGTTGAAATGCCGCGTAGCCTGCCTCGGTGCCGCCAGCAACCATCAGCTGTCAGCTCTCGCCTCAACCCTGTGCGAAAACCATCGAAAAACCATGTGACATCATGTGACATCTAGAATCCAAGAAGGACGTTGCAAACCCTATCGGAACGGCAAAACAGGAATTCACGGCAAGCAACTTCACATTCAGCTTTCATCTCATTCACCACTTTCTGTCCTCTACCTTTGTCTCAGGGTTGGTGCATCATGGTCTAAACTTTGCATTAGCGGTGTGAACTGTGAAGCCTCTCCGCCTTCCAGATCTGACTGTCAGAGATGCTCATACTTGCTCATATGACTGCAGCTGGGCAGTACAACATCAAAAACATAGTGGACTAATATGAAGAATACATGGAAACCGTTGGAAGACGCTGCTTCTTGGATGAGTCACAAACATTGTCGCCTTCGCACAAGTCTTTGCAACACCGGAATTTTACGATAACGCTGTGGTTGCCGTCGTTCTTCTTCCTCCCGGAGCTCAAAACAATGCAGGGCGATAGAGTCGATACTCAGATTCAGGACACATCTGTCTCATCATAAGTTTCACGTATTTTCACGTAATGATCAACTGCATTCATCCAAAATCCATGGGCGGATGTGCAAAGAGCGATGGGCAGCAAACATGTTAGACGATTCCAGGAGTCCTTACATTTGTCTTTGTAGTTGCTTGATATTGCTTGAAAGTCTTCATCTACAGGCATGCTGGCATGTGATCCCATCTTAAACAGCGGCGAGTGCTTTCCCCTCCCCACCACAGTACAATCTCTAAAGAAACGATGACATACAATCTGCATCATGTTGTCATAAGTCAACTTCCGAAGCCATCTGAGAAGTTATGGGAACATGTCAGAAGCATCAGTTGAACCATCACTTGAACCCATAGCCGTCATAGCCCCGGATTTCTTCAAGGCTTGAAGGCGCCCATGCCACATTTATCAGTATTTATCAGGGTTTCAGGGTACGTGTCAGCACCGCTCTCCTGCCACGCCAAACAAAGCCACTCTCTCCATGGGCGACAAGGCTGACCAACTCCAAATTGTGATTTGTATCCTCGTAGAAGGGTGCTGTCGGTGCTGTTTGGCACACGTCACATCACTGCTCAAACAAACAAACCAATAAAAACAAAACTGTTGCAAAATATTAAAAAGACTGATTTCATCAGATGGTCATCGTCCAACAGACACTGCAGTTCTTTGACGTCAGCACCCGAGAATGAGCTGCCAGAGCAGTTGACCTTTGCCAGGTCCTTTGTTCGCACTGAGAATTGTAGTCTGAACATGCCATAGACGGCTGTACAGGGCAATACCAACTGCATTGGCTCCTACCTGGTCCTACTAGTCACTGATGAATTACATTGAATGACTGTTTCGCTCTGTGTGACGATCTGTATCGATTTTTATCGATCAGTTTTGGCCAAGCTTCTGAGGGCGACTTGTCAGTGTCAGCCCACGCCAAGTGTATCACAAGAATTGAGATGCGCACGCGCCATGTTCGCCATGTCCACTTTCCCATGAACAAAAATCGTAAAGTCATGTAGAGTCCAAGTGCAGCTGTTGAGATAAGTCCGTTCCGTACTCTGCACAGTTTTCCTGTTGCATCACTGTTTACATTAGATTCAAAGATGAACCAACTTCAAAGGCTGCAAGCTGCGCAATTTCTACAGTGGCTTTTCCTGCCTTTTGAAGTCTTGCAAACTTCAGAGCTGCGGAGGACGCAGCTCGTTCAGCACGTTCAGCACTTGGATTGTTGATGTATGTTGGTGTTAGAACCACGGGCCTGGTTGGAATACGATCGTAGTTCACTGATGGAATACGATGGATTCCCATCAGGGGAGGTGTCTTATCCCAAACGGAACTGATCGGACGGGCAGCATCTTAGCACCATCCATTAGAGGAACCCAATTGTATATGACATCCAGTACCAAAGTTACTGCTGGTGAGGAATTGACCAAAGTGACCACTCGTGAGGCTTTGCCATGCTTTGCCTCATGTCAGTATGCCCCTCTTTGGTTCAGGGTTCAAAGAAACAAACAGCTGCAAGAAAACCATGTCAGCGCCTGGAAAACCATTGTCGATTTTCCCTTCCCTGACGCATTGCCGCATCACCGTCGGCACGTGTGTCAAACAGAGGCAGTAGAGGAGTAAAGGCAGTACTATGTGATGTTGCAGGAATTTTCAGGATATGCAACGGCTTTCACTAAGAATGAAGTCGACCGTCAAAAAGCCATAGGCAAACTTGTCCATGCATAGGAAGAGGGGTGAATTCCGGGTGAATCACAGAAAAACAGGTGCCATGATGTGCCATGATTTCCATCTGGCCTTGCAACGCCAGCATCCACCCAAGCGAAGGTCTGTGAGCGAAAAGGATTCCAGTGCGCTGCGCAAGCCAAGAGCTCTGGCTTTGAGTTCACCACCTTCGAACTGAGGTGTGCTTCAGGATCCAAAAGCCTTGTGATTTAATGTAACATAATGTAACATATTTAAATATGGTAAATATAAATGCGAAATATACTAAATATACTAAGTTAACTAGCTTTCGTGACAAGTTCAAGCCCAAGTTGCCAACTGTTCATAAGATTGTTGTCTGCAAGTTTGGTCAGAAATAGTGGCTGTTCAGCTTCAAGGCTCCAGCCATGGTATACGTGGATTGAATCCTGGCGACGGTTCTCCATGGACTGCAAGTTGTCAGTTGTCAGCAAGCGAAGCGGCTGAGGTCCGGGCACTTCAGGACGCATGTCACCAGGCAGTTTGCGACGGTTCTCAGCATGTGCCTTCGCTAGAAAACAATGAAGTCAATGAAGTTATGAGTATCATTGAGTATCATCAAACTTACAGCATGGATGCAACAAGACTTGTCTCATCTGGTTTGTACACGCAAGAGCTTGCGCAAGCAATAGAATTGCATGCAGAAGCCCCTGGTCATTGGGTCATTGACGTTTCAGCACTAGTTTGACCTTCATTTGTATTTTGTTCATCGAAAGAGCTGAAACCATTTGCTTCAACACCTTGTACGTAAAATTGTCGGCAACTTCCACAACATATTGCAAGACATAATGATAATAATATGATGTTCATATGATTCTCATATGATGTCGTCAATTTTGAGCGTGTGTCCTCTTCGTAGGCATCCTTCCAGCGCATCTGTGGCAAATCCTCTTGCGGCACCTTCTGACGCAAAGCTGCGAGGCAAAGCCGAAGTCAAGAATGACCAAGAATGCCAAGATCTCAAAAATGGATTCCTTCAGGTTCCTTTGGATTCCGTGAAACACTTTTGTGGTTTGAGAAACCGCTACTTTGCGCCTTCTACTCTGCAGGAGTACTAGGATGGGTCAAATGGAGGTTGAGCGACAAGTGAAAGATAGAGCAGAAGAGTTGCAAGTTGCCCAAAGCAGTCGCTCTATGTGCGGAAAATACCTTCCACATCCTTCCACATTCTATCGCAATCTTCTGTCGACAAATTGCTATGAACCAGGCCTCAACCAAACAGGTCAGCATACGGTGCCTTCTGCGGTGCTTTTCCTTGGGCCGTCAGGATGCCAAATTGTTCATTTATGTGGGCTGTGACTGCATCACTTCGCTGAGCAGCTGCAAAGGCAATGGTCTCAGCATCGGCAAAGATTAGAAGAGCCTATGGTCAGTCGCAGTGAATGACATGCCAAATCAGTATTTTCTTATGTTTTCCTCTAATATGGACATTGACATTGACATGGCATACTTCTCAGCACCTGCGGCTTTTGCAGCAATTGCTCCATCCACTGGAAATACTTCTTGAACCTCAGACTGAATATACATAGTCTTAGGCATGTCTAAACGTCTTGACCATTACCTTGCCCTAAAGTAATTCAGAATGTGGCAGCACAGCTAAGTCAGCGAAGTACAAATGGTCTCATAGCTTTTGCTCAAAAACGAGTCAGGGAGAGGCTTTCGGCACTGTTCAACGTGCCATCATCTTGGGAGCCTTCTCGGGGGAGCCTCTTCTCAGAACTGCTCAGGCCATGGAAAGACACAAAAACTTTGTCAGACTTTTTTTTTGTTGATTACCTTTGCTTCTGTTGACCCAGTAAGGACATCAACCGGCAGGGAAAGGTAGGTGCTTTAAATCAAACCTGCATTCAATTGACCACTTGAGAAAGCAGCCAAGCAACGAATGCCCATCCCCTTCCTGCAATCAAAGGGAATGGTGAAAGATTTGTCGAGTGACACAGTGAACGTTTCTCTTTCTGCGGGGACTCTTACATCTCAAGTACTTGGAATGGCCCGCAGCATGTGCGGCATGAAAAACCATGAATAGTTACCAACATGGGCATTGATGATCCGTAACGGTCCATGACATCCATAGAATGGAGCAATTCCTGACTGCTGGTTCCAGCACTCGAGCCATGCCGATTCTTTGACAATTTCCCTCGTCGTTGCATGGTCGGCCTGTTCGAATGTACTGTACATATTGCGTGTAATTACTGTAGAGTATCTATCCCATATCATCCCATATATCATCCCATATATCATCCCATATATCATCCCATATATCATCCCATATATCATCCCATATCTATTTTAAAATATCATAACATATCTATCATATGGGATTTTTTGTAGTGAAAATTCAGGTCATTTTCGGCGTACGGCGTATCCGCCGCATGTCTCCGAGCTCCTGGTAGCGAGCGTGCGAAGGCCATGCCTCTCTGTGGAGGTTCCACAAGCCAGTCACCAAGGTCGTATTCGACAAACGCCGCCTGAATCAACACGTGATGTCGAAGATATATGAAGATATCGATATCGTATCGATTCTGACACAAGTGGATCTGTATTTTTTGGGCTGTCACAACAAAACATGTTAAGTTGAACCATGTTCAACCTGGGGCCAGTTCAAGGAACCAAGTCAAATTGACCATTCTATACTATTGTTCTAAGAAATATACTGTTTATATGCTATTTATGTTTACTATTCATCCTGTACGCAACAAAAGCTGCGCCTTGGACAAACAGTTCTTGGAAGTTCTTTGATCCTCCAGGTGTCGTGCTAAAAATGAATCGACAGGTTGTAGAGCATGGCGAAATGATCTTCGCAATGCTTCAGGTCCTCATGTTCCTTGAATCTACCATGACTATTTTTATGCTATCTCCTGCATTTCAAAGCCTGAGTCCTGTCATGTCCTGTCGTTTCTCATCTTCTGTTTCCCTCTTTTCTAATATTCCCAGATTTATACCGGGTTTTAGAATTTCTGTCATCTCACCTTGCACCCAATTGTAACCGGTTACAACAGACAACTCTTATGATTCTTATGTCCTTCGCCGCAGCTTTGGACCACAGGGACTGCTGCAGCAACGTTCACGGGTATGTGGCAAAGGCCCACCTGTGACAAAGTCGCATAAAGTCGCTGTGATTCAGGACTTACACAACTTACACAGGAAACATATGGAAACATTGACAGACTGAATTCCTGTGTGCTGAGGTCTCAGGATATGAAAGTCACCTGGAAAGCAATCAGGTGCACTTTGCTGGCCGCAGCAACGTGCATAGCTGTATCCATCCTGAGAAAAATTCAACATGAAAATAGATGAAATGGAGGTTTCCTAAGTCATGGGGGTATCCCTAAATCTTCCATGTTTGAGTGGATTTTCCAAAAAAACAGCCATCAATTGATCCAATGTGATAGGCCTGATAATGCCTGGCCACAGCCAAGGCCCCCAAGGCCCCCAAGGCCCAAGGCTCTGTCCAACAACTGGGGTTTTGTTCCAAGAGCCAGTCGCCACGCACGCCACGCACGCCACGCACGCCCAGCAAGGTGGCGAAGGTGGCGAAGCGCCAGAAACGGCGCATCGCCGCATCGCCGCATCACGGCGGCATCCCGAAATCTGTTTGAATGTTTTCTGATGTTTTCTGGCTTAAACTATCTTAAACTACTAGAAAAAACTAGAACACAGATTTGTATATCTTGGTTGGCTGAAGTATCTCCAATTTCCCAATTTCCAGAATCTATTCTTTGGCTAATACTTAGCCTCTGCTCCTTGTGGTCTTTATTTCTCAACATCTTGTCCATTCTGAATTCTTCTCATCCCATACAGCATCATTTTGCCATTCGGAACTCCCAAGTGTTTTTCCACCATCAATGAATCAATGCCCGCAATGCACCAACACATATCCATCACCATGTCGTTGAGAAAGTTTCGAAGCTTCGGAGGCAAATTGCAAAGAAGTCTGCCTGTAAGCTCACAGTCTTCAATCGCTCAGAGAGCTTTCAGAAACAGCGCGGAAGCACACGCACACAAACCTCTAGTGTAAAACTGGTGTCTGACTCTCCATCCACGATTCCACGATTGAATATCATACAATTTTCTTTACAAAAAGACAAAGTTTGCTGCATTGAAATGTGGCTCATCGGAAAGGCCAAACCTCTATCGAGGCTTCTTGGAACCTCGATCTCAGTTGAGGCAAGCACAATGCAACGCTGCACAGCTGAACCTCAAATTTGGGGCGCTTCAGACATGGAATGTTTTGGGTTCTTCCCAATTGCACCCATGAGTGTGGAAAGAAGCAGCAAACCATGTCATGTTTCATGGAGTGAATTAACCTTCATTGGTGAAAGATGGACAATCGAAAGCAAGAGAATTCAACAATGTGTCAGATTCATTTTGATACGCGGCAGGACATCTCCTAACAAACAGGCATAAGGCACACTCCCGTGGCAGAACAACTCGAAGTGTGAAGAGCATCAACAAGCGAAAAACATGGCCATTGGTATCCACATGATGAATCTGGAGTGGGCGTGCTTCAAGTCTTGATCAAGCACAACTGCACAACTTCTCTCCCAAAGCTGGTACCTTGCCTGTGGCCATTTTACACTAGTGGCACAGCAAAAACTCTGATTTCTTCGTTGGCGAAGCAAGCAATTTCTGTTTTCGGTCACGACTGGATCACTTTGGACCCATCTTCGCTTCGAAAACGCCAGCTATCTTGGAGACTCGGGCATCTCGTCAGCTTGAACGGATTCCTGGCCGTATGAAGCAAGTCCTTTTGAAGTCAACTTCTCAACTGACCAGCACTTGGCTTCACTTTCCCAGACAAAAAAATCCGCAATACGTAAAACTTTCTGCAGAAGCAAAATACCAAGACATCCAAATACCAAGACTATCTGTGCTATATACCAATCCATTTCTATGCGCAAAAGCTGTCCGCTTCTTATTTAGGTGCTCAGCGTCGGGCGGTTTCCACTTTCCACAGGCTCTATTAAGAAACCGGAAACGTGTTCAGTAGAACCCACAAAATCCTGGAGGAAACACTGGGCAGAGACATTTATATATTCTTCCACAATGATGTATCTTTGACTTTGAACCTTTTCCCAGGCTGGGTCATACTATTTTTGGCATTTTTTCACATTACAATACCTCCTGCTTACCTGATTCAATTCAAGTCTGTCTTCAAGACAAAGTGATATGCCCATTCTATCTCATGATCCTCTCTAGGGAGGGAAGTGTTGAGAGGAATCCACTTTCTGGTTTCATACACGTCGTTGCAAATGGCTGCCGTATGCTGGCGTCTCTCTCTCTCTCTCTTTCTGTCTGTCTCTGCCTCTTTCTCAGTCTCTATGTTTGTCTCTGTCTTTTTCCCCACCTGCCAGGTGAGGGTTGTTAGATTTTATGTCAGTTGCCTCCTCCTCCTGCCGCCTCCTGCCTCCTGCCTCCTCCTCGTCCTCCTTGTCGTCCTTGTCGTCCTCGTCGTCCTCGTCGTCCTCCTCCTCCTGCTCAACCGCGACCCTCGACGCACAGTGTTCGCTGCCGGACCTCAACCACGACCATTGTTCCCTGCCGGACCTCAACCACGACCATCCACGCCCAGTGTTCCCTGCCGGACCTCAACCACGACCAGCCACGCCCAGTGTTCCCTGCCGGACCTCAACCGCGAGTATCCATGCCAAGTGTTCCCTGCCGGACCTCAACCACGACCATCCATGCCCAGTGTTCCCTGCCGGACCTCAACCGCGAGTATCCACGCCAAAAGATATGCCACATAGAGTGCCAGAAGATATGCCAGATAGAATGTTAGAAGATATGCCAGATAGAATGCCAGAAGGTATGCCAGATAGAATGCCAGATAGAATGTCAGCTAGAATGCCAGAAGATATGCCAGCTAAAGTGCCAGAATGTTTGCCAGATAGAATGCCAGCAGATTTGCCAGATAATATGCCAGAAGATATGCTAGATAGAATGCCAGATGGAATGCCAGAGATTTGCCAGATAATATGCCAGAAGATATGCCAGAACATATGCCAGAAGATATGCCAGAACATATGCCAGAAGATATGCCAGAAGATATGCCAGAACATCTGCCAGAAGATATGCCAGAACATCTGCCAGAAGATATGCCAGATAGAATGCCAGAAGATATGCCAGATAGAATGCCAGATCGAATGCCAGAAAATATGTCAGATAGAATGCCAGAAGATTTGCCAGTAACAAAATGTATAAATGTCATGGTGGGGATCACACGAAGTAAAGTAATTTTTTCCCTCTCCCTCTCTCTCATAGTGTCTCTTTTTCTGGTGATTGCGCTCAGTTACAAGAATCTATGAAGGCCTAGAAATTAAGCAAAATCAGTGCAATTCGCATTTGTTGGTAGAGACTCCCTCCATTTGTTGGTCGACCTGTACCACACGACCGGCGCAGCAAGTTGGCCTCCATGGAAGGATCTCGGCCTGGAATGATCTGGAATGCGTTACAAATATCATCAAATATCCAAACATATTTCAAACATATTTCAAACATATTCCAAACATATACAAAAAACATGTGCAAATCGCCTCAAATCGCCAACTTCTTGGGAACAGTCCAAAGCTTCGTCACTTTGCCCGTCACTTTGCTGCGAAACTGCGCTTCCAAAAGTTGAGACAAGATGCTTCGGAAAAGCGCACATAGGCGTTGAAGTTCAGCATCAATCACCTTCAAACATCAGAATTGTGCGAAAGCCATGTGCGGTCTGGCTAAGGTTGGAAAAGCAAAACCCCGCGCCACGTTACCGTGGAGGAAGCAAAAGAAAATGAACGGGATTCGTGCTGGAGTGTAAGAAACGAACGCAACAACGCTTCTGTGAGTATGTGCATTATCAGCACGCAACAAACCACAGCAAGCACGCAACTGCACTTCAAAATCGCATCTTAGATGGCATACCCAAAAACGATTCTACAATGAACATCTCATCGATTCAACAATTGCATCGATTGTGACACTTCAATTGAATGTTGATACATTCATGCTACTGAGTTGTAATATATATGTATACATACATACATACATACATAATATACTATACATATCTATACATAACATCTATATATAACATACATTGTCACACAGCTGTTTGAACTAAAGCACAGTGAGCATCTGCTGCTCCATGATGCAGGTCTCAGGAGTAGGCTCCAAACCTGACGAACTCAGCCATTTGGGAATGGTTTACACCATCTATGGTGATGACTCGAGGATGGTTATGGATGGTTTATGAGTTTATGATAGTTTATGACATTGTTCTACCATGTTCTACCCACATTATTTCTTTTTCCCCCAAAAAAAACAACCAAACCTCTTTGAGATGTTTGCACCGGAAAAATGAATTTGTAATTACTTCTTTGTAGACGAAGCATTTTGATGCATCTTGAAAATTGCAAGAAGTTATGTCATGGCTTTTGGCAAATTTGAAGAATATGCTTTGGAAAGTATAGAGAAGTATAGAAAATTCAAAGATTTCCCAAGCAAAGCTTGGAGAAAGTGACAGTCCGAATTCCTGTTGATCGCCAAATGATACCATGTGTTTCAAATTCCCGCAAGAAGTGCTGAAACGTGCTGAAGCTGAGTGCTGAAACATGTGTTTCTTCATTGAAAATCAGGAGTTTCCGCAAAATCTGGCTACCCCAAACTTCCCAAACCATTGCTATCCATGGCTTTTCCCATAAGGGGTACCTGCGAGGCCAGCACTTATGGCTTTGAAGTGCTCCTCCATGGATGTGTCGTCCCTAGGCATACAGAACAAATGCAGAAAACAGGGAAATCACAGGGAAATCCAGGGGAAATCTGATTGTTTTACACACACCTTTGCTCAAACACACTGCACTTTCAATATTTGAACATACTGTCAACCACGAACATTATAGGGCCCCTCAAACATCAAGAGCCCATGTCGGGTAAGGCAATTTGCACAGTTGGGTCGCTGCATCAGCTTGTCTCACCAGTCAGTTTTCATGCCTCTTTGCTGTCAGATTCTCGACGTTGGGAGAAATGTGTAGAGTATTTGAGAGTGGCTTTCCATGACTTTCCATGACTTTCCATGACTCCATGAGAAACCCATGACTTTTCAAACGTTGCCCAAACGTTTCAAACCGTTTTTCATGACGGAACGACAGGCGGCTCTGCAAGCTCCACAGGCTCCAGCTTCGGCGCTTGAAATGGCAGGGCCTTGACACGACGCCGAACATGACGCCGAAAATCACGCCTAATCCCCAGATATCCTCAGATCATATTCGAATTAGATCGCGTTGCGGATGTATTGAGCATATTTGAGCATTGTCATTATTCTTACGACAGCGACCAAACAAGTGAAGTGAGCATGTGTTTCTTCATTTGCTATTTATTTATTTTATTTGCTACTTGGCATTACTTGGCTCACTGTTGGAACAGTTGGAACCTGAACGAACACAGGATGCCCACGGATGCCCCAATCGCATCCAATCGCTCTCTCGGCACCTCGTGGCATTGCTGCACCAGCCCTTGCAGCGATAGCAGTTGCCCGTCACGACTTGCCATGACTTGCCCTATTGATGTGACCGTTCAACTCGTTGCACATCTAAATATTCAAAAAGATTAGAATCGGATAAGTGGATAAGAAAAGTAGGAGACACAAAAAATATGCATTGTCAAAGCACGTTAAAACAAAGCCCTCACGAAGCACACTCACAGCTACAGAATGTCGACGAGTTCGTGTTCCGTGTTTAGTAAATCTTTAATACAAACGCAGTGTAGTTCAGAAATGCAGCAAGGGAATTGACAGCGCACAGCCTTGCGCAGCTTCTGCCAGCTGATAACCACACCGGGATCGAGCCCACTGGCAAAATGATCAGAATGGTGGCCAGTTGGGCCCGAAATTTTCAGGTCTCTACCATGAGTCAATGAGTGTTGTGAAAGTTTGTGAAGGTTTGTGAAGTGTTCTACGACTCTACGACTTTAAAATACTTTAAAATGCAAAGCTACAGCATCTCACTGCATCTTACTACATCTTACTGCGTCTTATGGCATCTTACTGCATCTTACTGCACCTGCAGTGCAAAATGAGACATGCAACTCTGCACAGGTGAAACGAAGCAGTGACCGTGCCTCCACAAGTCCATCCTGAGAGACACAGGGAGAAACATGTGACACATGTGACATATTTGGGGACAAAACCTACATTTTTGATGAGATAACATGGAGATAACATGAACATCATCCTAGTGGCCTCACGGATTTACATGGATTTACATGGCCTATCCTACCATCGATTGCGTGATCTGTTGGATCGCAGCCAGGTTTAGCCCGTTTTGCCAAGCTTCAGCAACACCTGCGCCGCAATCAGGTGATTCATGGAGCGGTGCAACAGAATCTGAACATACCATTCTTCCCCCCAAAGATCCCAAACCTTGGGCTTCCCCTCTAGCCTCTAAATGCCTCTAATACTGTTTCACTGTGTTTCATGTGTTGTGAATTGACCATATTTTAAAATATTTTACAATATGCTCTGATCATCTCTGATCTTTGTCTCTTGCAACGGCCATCGCCTTGCGCAGAGTCCTGCTGCTCTTGAATCAGTTCTCCGTGAGCTTGATGCCATGAGTTGACCTGCCTCAGCGAACCCGAACCGCTCCCAGAGTCTCCGGCACTCAACGGCACTCAAACTTTTTGATCTTGAATCGTCTTGAATCGTCTGTTTCGGCCAAGAAACCCAAGGCGACTAAGCGAATGGTCTGCAACCTCGGCCGTGATGATGCCCTGCAAAGACCTTGGCCGGCTTGACGTGAGATCAACAGAAACATCAACAACTAAGTCATAAGTATTCATGAGATCAAGTATTCATTCAAAATTTGATTTCACTTGACCCTGCTGCAAAGATTATGTCTATCGTGCTTAAGGCTTAAGCATCTGCAGATTGCAAAGACCCCGGCCGGCTTGCCTGTTGAACAGTTTGGATACTTTTCGTACATCCAGCTGCTGCATCGGATTTCTGTGCGTCATTCATTTCTGTGCGTCGTTGCCATGATGATGAAATGTCGACCTCCCACATATATTCATATGTACATAAACTAGGATACATCATATATACATTTAAGAGAAGCAGTACATCTATAGACACATACGACTTGCAGACATATACGTGTTTTATCTTACACAGCTACATCAGTAATATTCAATAATTACCCATAGCTTGTCATTCTATTTGCAGCATATCTACAGCAACTTATGCCCGTAGGTAGCATCTCTCACCTATCCGAGATCGGTTCTCGACTCATCACCATCTACCATCCAGATGCCGAGGCACTTGTGGATCCTGGCTTTCAGGCTCAAAAAGGCTTCTGCCACAGCGGCTGCACCGTTCTGGCTTTGCCCTGCAATTCTGCACCACAGACATAGACGGCACACAGATGGCAAAATTATACTCACTGACATGCTGCTGGAATCCGGAACAACAACTCAACAACTCTCATCCTCTCATCGATTCTGATCGTCATTCCGATCCATTCCGACATCGCAGTGCCTTTCTTGCCACCAGGAGCCTGAGGCTTGAGCATCTTGAGGGATTTCCCAATCCCAAAAATGTGCCTAGTATTGTTTGGTCGTCCCTTAAATCTTTCAAATATCTTTCTACATGTTCTTTATTGTTCTTTCTGACCTCTGTGGAATATTGAAAGACTTGCAGCTAATCATGAATCTGCTTACACACACAAACACACACACAAACACACAAACACACAAACACACAAACAAACAAACAAACAAACAAACAAACAAACAAACAAACAAACACAAACACACACACACACGGTAAAGATGTGAATTGAACGCTGTAAAGCGCAGAGATATTGAACCATAAAGCTTAAGCTCGTACACTAGGCAAACGTAAATACTATTGCCACAACTACCTTGCAACGTATTGCAACGTATTGCAACCACTTGGGACATCTTGGATATCTTGGGACTGAGACCGAGTGAGATCATCCCGTGGCACCGCCACCCGTCGCCTGCAAGCGTCGCAACTGCTGCATCTTCTTGGAATGCCAGCCGGAAGCTTCTCGGCGCAGCTCCTTGCCGTCTGAAACCAGATTTCAAATACCCATCAGATACCCAATATTGTCAATACCATAGGAAATGACAGTAATAGACATACCATAGGATCCATAGGAATACCATATACCATAGAAATACCATAGGAAGTAGCATAGGAAGTAGCATAAATATAAAATGAAGATGAAGCAATTCTTCGAAGTTTCCGAACGTCTCCTCCAAGAGCTCCAGGCGAGTGCGCATCTTCCAGGCTTCCAACTGACCTGGAACATTTTTTCACCAGAAATCAAAGGCTGCAAATGAGAAAGTGTGTGTGTTTTCGATTGGAAAACAAAGAGATGAGACTTGAGACATGAGGAGACATGCAAAAATCATGGGAAATATGCACAATTGGAGTGCAACGCTGCGGGAGGAACAGAGTGAGAAAGAGCGAGAGAGAGAGAGAGAGACTGCAACATTTCAAAGAGGAGCCCACGGCAGCACTGTGCGAAAACTCAAACCAAGATGAAGCATGATATATGACGAAATATGACAAAGATAAAGCCTTTATTTTTATACCATATCAGGATACATGATATATATATATATACACATATTCCCTATATATCTAGGAAAATTGTAATATTTCACTAACCATTTGGGGATGATTGCCCTTATTTACCCATATCGAGGCTGCATATCATTTTAAGCCTTCAAATCGCCTCCGGTGACTCGTTTACGAGTTCACTGAGTTCACCAGAATGTCTGCAGAGTCATGTCATGATATCACAATGGCCAGTTGAGATTCTGACGATATCTTGTGATATCTTGTGATAGACTGTGATATGATACTAGATTTGATTAGATTTGATTAGATTTGATATTAAAATGATTCATGACATTTCTAGACTGGTTCTGCTTCACCTTTGTTCCGAATTTTGGCTTGTCATGATCTGTCCAAGTCACTCTCTGCCAGCCATGCTTCATGACTCGCGTCGGCCTGGAAGTTGGCAGTTCATGGCGTCTCTTCTCCCGGCTTCGTTTCTTGGAGTTTAGAGTCTATTGGTCTGTTTGCTGTTTCCGATCAACCCTGCCTGGACAACATGAGAAACTTCAAAACCGAGTATCTGACTTTAAATGTCCCCAACAAAGATCTCAAGTTACCGGGCCGCGGACATTTGTCGAGTAGCGCTTGTAGAAGCTTTCAGAGATTTCTTCCTTGGCTGCCACGAAGCCACCCGCTTCCGGAAACGTCCGTTCTTCTGAGAGATTTTGTGACCTCCTCTTCAAAATCTTCAAACATTTCACACGCCCAGATGTTCTGATTCAAAGATATTCAAAGGCCGTTTTTTTTTCCGTTGGTCGTGAATTTCTCGGGGATCACCGGCACGCTTTGAGGCTTGAAGCTACAAGATCCTACAAGGACAAAGATTAATAAAGATTACAAAGTAATACAAAGTAACATGATTTTCGTAAGATTCCTTTGGTCATTCTTTTCTCCTTGAGATGCCCAACTGCCAAAACGTCCGACCAAATCACTAACATCCACCACCGATCATTCCACATCAAAGCTCGATTCGGCGATTGCCCCAATCCGACACACGCTTTTTCATTTGTGAGCCTGAGCGAACAACTTCGATCTGCTTCGGTTCTGCGTTGACAATTTGAATCACAGCGGTACGTGAGTGCAGCTAGATTTGACAGCAAAAAGTTGAATAATTATGAATTGACAAATGGCTGCAGATTAGAGTTAGATTTCCGTTGACATGGTTCCTGAGGATGACGATTCACGGATCAAACTGAAGTCTGCTGAGCAACGGAGATCCTCCTGCGGGAAATCACAGCTGGAAATCACCGTGCGACAGGAATAAGAAGACAAACAAAGGCTCGATCTCTGAGGTGAATAGTATGAATAGTCGACGTGGAAAAACCGCACAATAATTTCATGGATCGGATTCCCTGAGCCACAGCCCAAAAAGCACCGAATTCAAGTCTCAATGTGAAAACGTAGAGAGTATGAACATTGATTGTTTCATGGACAGGCTTTTTCCTGCAGAATGGTGTAGAAAACAACACTGCACCAAAACCCCACAGAATAGATTGAGATAAGATAAGATGAGATAAGAGGTGCTTACGGGTTCTCAGGGTTTGTGTATGTTTGTGTGCTTACGCGCGGCCCGCATTTGAGTTTCTCTCGTTTCTGAGGCCAAAGGTGGAGTGCCGCACCTGCAGCTTGGCCATACGGATTAGCTTTACACTTTTTGTTCCCCCTTCATGTATTTTTATATGTCTCTATTATGTCTCTTTTGTTTCTTTTCTCATCTTTTCTCTATGTTCTGATGTTTCTTATGTGGTATCTGTCTTGAGATCAGGTGCCTCACGCCCCATCCCCCAATTTGCGTCCTCATTCACATCTTCAAACCTGGCGAGATAAAACACAGACTTTCGAAACTTGGGACGATGGGGCAAAATCATGCAGTATGATGCAGGATGTGGCAACGTGGAAATACGTGGAAATGTGACGCATAAGCCTTTGCAAAAACCACTTCACTCCATTTTGCGTCCAGCAATTGGACTGGATACAAGTGAGACAAGGTCATGACAAAGTCATGATAAATGTTCTCAAATTTCAGTGTCGCCGTAGCAAGCATCTCCTTCCCACATCTCATCCGATACTCTCTTAAGCACCTTTAATACATTTTAATACTGTCTGAATTTGAACTTTTTCATGTCCAACTTCTCTTTGTACTTTAAGCCGACCATGGACTTCCGGACAGAGTCGCGGAGATCATCTTCGACAATGTCGCCAGGAACATCTTCATCTGTAACCATCGCTCTTCCTCGGAAGTCTTCCATGAGCTCTAATCGATAGACTTGCGTTCCGATCACACAGCATGGCTTGCCATCCAAGGCGTCCTGGGCAAAGTCTCGTAAGTCTTGTAGCAGAATAGATAAATCAAATTACAGCGAAACATCAAAGAAACAGCCTCTGACATGGGAAACTTCACGGCATCTGTCACAAAATCTAAGTTGAATATGTACGCAACCCTTATGAAGCGTATCTATTAAGACCATTTCCAGCTACCCATCTCTCCATATCTTTCATGTTTCCCCGATTTGATTCATCTCTCTCCATCTCCATTTCCTGCCGTCCTTCGCTCTCATAGCTTCAACGACATCTTGAAAATATGCAAAAGCTTGGCCCGTGGGTCTCCGTCCGTTTCGGAGCAGTTCTACAGCACCTGACTGGGCCAAGCGGAAGCCTTTGAAGAAACCGCGCACGTCATAGGCAGTGGCGTGAAACGGCAAACCCCGCAAACGAAGCCGAGGCAAACCGCTTTCCGAAGAGAAACTTCGGATCAGTGACAGTGACAGTGGCGCCAGGGGCTTTGCGTTGGCCAACATTTGGAAAGAATTTCTGAATGCACATTGCAGTACTTGAGCCCCAAAATATCCCAAAATGCCAGGGATGGCAATTGATGGCAATGTCAAAATATGTCAAAATATGTCAAAATATGTCAAAATATGTCAAGTGGATCACATCCCCTCAGCACCGTCTTGAAACGTCTTGAAAGCCTCATGGCCCTATGATTTCGCTTCGCGATGAAACCTTGGGAGATTCCTTGGTGAAACACATCACGAAAACTTCACCTGCCAGAAAGGCACAGTACCAGAGGTTTCTTAAAATGGGTGTATCCCAGTCCAAAATTAGATCATGATCATGTTAGTATTGAAATCCATTATTTTGGGTCCCCCAGTTTAGGAAACCTCCATGTCTACGTAAAATATCTGAACTTGATAAGTACGATAATACAAAGAAACAATCGTCACTATATAACTGCTCCATTCTCATTCTCATGAAAACAAGGGATGTGTCATCTAAGCAGCATGACAAACAGAACCCCTCGTATCAACACACTACATCTTGACTGATTTGAACAAGCCTTTAAGTGATACTATAATAACCATCCAAAACCCATGGGTTTTAGATGTTGCAATATATGATAACAAAATATAATTATATATAACACGTATAATATATAACTCCGCAGGCTCTCCTCCTCGCTCGCCACGCTTTTTCTGTTGAACCAATCGGACTTTAGAAATCTTCAGAACGTGAAGTCCAAGCTCGCCATTCGCCCGGCATTCAGTCTCCGTCCTTCTTCATCAAAGTCGTTGATTTTCCTTCGGCCATTTTGCTTCGATAGGCATCCAAGCGCTTTTCATACTCTGGATCATCAGGAAGCAGAAAGACTTTGCTCTCAGCCTCTTTGTTGATCGTAGCAAAAAGGCTGGAAAGATCTGCAATGACGACGTCACTTGCTGCAATGGCATCATCCACCTTTCGATCCCTTGCCGCATCTGTCAACTGCTTTGCCTTACAGATCTCTTGTTTGATCTGACAATGCATTGAAACAGATTGTGAAACAGATTAAACAAATCAAACATCCTGCAACACTGTAAAATCCTACAAGTACATTCTTTACTTGAGCCTTGAAAAACCACCTAATCAAAATTAATCAAACCTAGCTATCCCTGGTGAGCATGCTTGAGCAGGATTATATAGGATTATATAGGATTTTGGATGGTTTTGGTGAAATATGGTGAAATTGAAGCTGAGATAAGCTGAGTTGCAGATGCTTCGATCTTCTGCGAGACCGGTCGAAAGTCGACTTCTCCATCTTCCTCTCCGGCGAGAACCAGCTGCCGCAACGGGGCGAAGAGATCTCGCTCGATGGCTGTGTTGCTCCCTCCAGAGGCGTCTAAGGCATTGATGGCCAGTTGAAACAGGCGAGGCCCACCGCGCACGTATGGTTTGATATCAAAATACAAAAAATCCATGGCACCTGAACAGGCTGAACAGGCTGAACAGGGATTCGGAAGCATGACATGATGAAATGAAATGACATGAAATTGCATGAAATGAGTGAAACCGCACACAGAAGCCACTTTCATACATCCCTACGTGAAATCACGAGGACTTGACTTTTTGGACATGAGATACTCACGTTGACATGGACATGAACATTGTTGACATGCTGTGCTCAGTGTCCTTGGATCTGCTCACCATATCGCTTGGTCGCCCGTTCCAATGGAGGCGACAGCTCCGCCAGGGCCGGAGCTCCCACGGCTGCCGGAGCTGCGGCGGTCAGGGCGGCAACGGCAGCAGTTCGGCGACCCGCAAAACAGCGACCCGGTCCACCCGGTGCACCGTAGATCTGACACAAGTGACACAAGTTACACACCAAAATGGCCGTGGCGCAAAGCGCGGGGCCGTGACGGCGCCGATGTGCCATATGAGCCATTGACACTTTCCTCTTTCCAAACCTTTCAGAGAACTGACACGCGCCCGTGCGATTGTCATTGGATTTTGTTTGCATGTTGGATCATGTCGGCATAACATTGCAATTCATCAGGAAACAAGACTCAAGATAGCCTAGAATTAAACTGTCGTTACTTAGAAAACGCGGTATGCAATGCCCCCCGTTTTTTTGGATCTCAGCACAACTTGCCAAAAAAATCAAAGGCTCACCCAAGAAATCTGATGACAAATGATGACACATGTCTTGACTGGGCAGCAGCGGTGCTTAAGAATGGAAGGTGCCAGCGGGCAGTGGGCAAGACCGCATGACCAGAAGCTACAGAAACCACAGCAGTTGAAAGAACAATAAAGAACATCTCTTGCAACTCCCTTCTGAAGAAAAAGCGCAGACTGCCTGATTGTATCTGATTGTCATGTCTAAGGCAGCCGAATGGTTCCCGCAATTGGACACACATTTTATCTTTTGTGCATTGGAATCTTGTTGAGGAATTGCATTTCTCTGAAACTCGACTAGCTGTGAACATTTAAGCCTTTTGGAATCTCAAAGATGGCCGTAGAGCTATGAGGAAATGAGTCCTCAAATGATGAATTCATATTGCTGCTTAATGCACCGGGATCTAGCTCGCCTGCATCTTGTGAAATACACCCAGCTTTCTTGACCAAATTTCTGTAGTCATTCTGATATATTCCGATCCATTTTCATCATCCTCTACCATAGTATCATACATCACAATACTGTCCCTTGGATCTTTCCACTTTTTCATACTTTCCATAGTAGGTTAGTAGGGGATCCACTGTACCTGTGTCACGTGGGTCAACATCCAAAGCATGGCAGCCAGGCTTGGCTTTCCTCTCGGGTGCCTCTTGTTCGCTCTCTGTCTCCTCCAAAAACACCAGTGATTTCAACATGTTACGAGCTGCGCTTTTCTGCAGACAGAAAAGAAGAACTGCCTTGGAAAGGTCACATGTGTACAGTGCAATGGCGTATGAATCAGTTGTGCCAGATGGGGATAGGGATGGGATAGGTCATCGCCTACAGTGGTGATTTACTTTGAATGCATCGCACCTGTCTTAGGGGACAGAAAGCCGTGTTTAAACAAGAGGTCTGCGATAGGTACTTCTCTCCTGTCCATCAAATAGCACCTTCCACCATGCCTTGGCTGAGCAACTGCAAATCACTGCAAGACTATGTACCGACATGTTATGGTAGGTCTTTAGATCTCTGGCAGTGCGGGTCCTCAAAAACAGAGGCCCAGTCACTGACAAAAAACAAGAGTTCGATAGACATCCATAGACTCCCCTTTGCATTAGACAAGTTTATTCTTGCTTTAAGTTGCAAGGCTGTAACCAAAGTCATAACAGGTTGGACCAGTGCTTTTCAACACAGCTTCACTTTTTCCATGCCAAAACGCAGGAGTCTGACATATGGAGATCTTAATTTCAAATAGCAGGGCTGCATGATGCAAAATGCACACAGCTTGGTGTTAACGCCAGAATTGGGACTAGATGCGGCAGGTGCAATGCTTGCAGGGCCTCGCGCAACATTTCAGGCTGCTTCAACACATTTGCCAGCTGTTGGAAAAGTTGGAAAACTGAGAAGTTGGTGCCACGGTGCGGGTCTTCCCAACATTTCCCAACATTTCCCATAACTACCTCAACTTCAGTTTTGAGAGGTCTTCTGTATGCGTCTTCACTGTGAGGTTCTTACGGTTCTTATAGCCATTTGTAGCAAGGATTTCTTGCAGTCGGCCACTTCTCTTGGATCTCTTGGACTTGCAGCCAAAGAGTGAGAGTGCTGACAAGATGTGACAGGTTGTTGAAATATGCTTGTTTCATAATATGTAATAATATGGTTCTATTCCAGTGTGTGAAAGCAATTATGATCTACCATGAATTGCCATGATATATAAAATTATACAAACACAAAAACACCATAAAGAAACACCCAGAACGCATGGTGAATTCACCGTGAATTCCTGCCTTTGTTCAGCGCATCCAACTCCTGGAAGGCTTGCTGGCGATCTTCCACCGATGTTCGGAGCGAGGTTACAACTTGCCTTTCGTTTGCAGCAAACGAGGCGAGGGCAAGGGCCTTAAGGGGTGTCGTCGAAAGAGTCAGAAGATGAAAACAATAGATGACATGTGATGAAAACTTGCTTCAAATATGATGAAATGGACCAATGTGAAGAAAGTTCTCAAAACTTCGCACATCTTCACACCATCTCTGTGACTCTCATGGTCACGTTGGTGGTAACGCCCTCGTGCCGTGCCTGAGATTCTCCGACTGATTCTTCAGTGCGAGTTGTCGGCCCTCAAAGCCTTGCTCGATATCCTCCAACAAGTCTTGGTCAACCTAAGCAGAGTAAGCAGAGCGCCGCTGTGATCCAGGTTCTGCGGAAACTTGCCTTCCAAACACCTTCATAGGACCGTGCTTGGAAATCAGAACACAGTTACTACAGTTACTACAGTTACTACAGTTACAGAAAATATCAATCCTAAGTTCATAGCGTTGCACTTGATCGCATAACAGCTGTTGCAAATCAATTTTCAGTGGATCTGTCTCTGAATCCTGATTCATACTCCGGTCACATGAGTTTCTGAATTCGACCACTTACTTTGCTTTTGAATCTGAACATATCTGAACATACTACAGTATACTGTCAGTATACTGTCAGTATACTACAGTACTTTGTGAATCCGGGCATTTTCTTTGGTGAAGATTACCGCATGCAGTTCTGAATCCGACCGCGCCAGTTCCTGAACAATATGAACAATCGTGACTATTGTTGGCTGACTCCTCACTTGTTAAATCCAATAAGTGTGTGTTGTATGCAGAGATATGCAGATGTGACGGAAGGGATGCCAAATCTTGGTGAAATGTGGTCTGCGTCCAATGCACTCCGCTGGTCATGTCCATGAAGCGCTGCTGCAGTGCTACTTCTTTCACTCGTTCTCCTTGGGACATCTTGGGACCATCGGACTGGTCAATGGAGTCAAGGTCAATGGAGTCAAGGTGGCATCTGGTGGCATCTGGGTGTCTGAAGTTCAGCAAGGATCCATGCCAATATACCAATATATGCCAATCCACATGATTTCTCTGTCATATCTGTCATTCTATGTCATTCTGAATTATGTCAGCCAACATAGATCAATTCAACTTCACAGGCTTCACAGGCTTCACAGGACTTTGCTTCTGGGAATCTTCGTGTCATATGCAGAGTGCATCCGTGTGTTCTTTTTGCGCCAATGAAATGTGGCTTCCGCATGGACTCATGGGACTCCTACTCCAGTTGTTCCATGTTGTTCCATAAATTTCTGCGGCACATCCACCCATCATCTGGGTCACTCCTCAGGGCCCACCTACCATGTGATCCATGTGTTATCCCGGGCCATTGGGCGACTGAGGAACTCTTTCGGTCTACAATCTTTTGCGCCATCCGCCCTGCTCTCACCTCAACACGTCGATAGCGCTGGCAATCGCCAAACTGAGCTAAGCAAAATCACTTTCTGTCGACGTCTGAAATGACTCAAAACTAGCTCAAGAAAACCACATGATTAACATTGATTAGCTGACTTGAGGACCCTCCGCAGATTTAAGGATGCTGCCATTTCCTCAGGATTTTGCATCTCAGTCGCCTGGTGGCATCAATTTCCACCAACATTGAAGGCGTCAGCAATTTTTGAACGGCTGCAGCAATGTTTGGGACAAAAGCTTCTGCAGCTCCGCACGGCTTAAAGTGGGGCATCATAGCAACAAAAGGCGGAACACACACACACACATTTTTGGAATATGCAATCAAATCGATATAAACAGTTAACATGTATTAATCTGTTTCGTTTCAACTGTAATGATTTTAATCTGCTGAATTCGCCTCCAGTCGTTCGACCAAAGATTCCAAACGGCTGCGCAAAGTTAGCAGCGCCGTGGCACCGGCTGAACAGGTGCCATGCACTTCCCTGCGGAATGCTTTTCAGCTTGGACAACTCAACAAATAACAAGAACTGTACAAAGTTGCCAAACCTGTGAACTCTGACAAATGCCGGCGTCAGTCATCATGGTTAGTTGCGATGCGAAGTTGTTTGACTGGCATTGGCTACTTTGGCCAAGTGTCTCTGCCAACCCGTTCCTGCGCAGGAAACTCACGGGCCCCTACGAATATGATGTTGTTGTGCCAAAGTTGGTCGTATAGCATGAAAGCAAGCGTGCAACATGCTGCTATGCCATCAATTACAGACTTCCGCACCACGAATACTCACCTCGATGGTTTTGACGGATTGGCACCTGCGAAAAGAACCAACAAACAGCTTCAAACAGAGAGGTCCGCAAAAAAAAGAATTTTCACCTGTTCTGATTTCTCTACAGCTTACACTTTTTGGAAACCGTAGAAATATCTGAGAATGGCAATGCGCCCACCTGACAGTGTCTCTTTTGCCAGCTCCAGCAGATTCTTCCGCACAAACTCTCGGATCATCTGCTTGTCCTCAAAAGATAAAACACGGAAGAGGCAAACAACTCTTCTACCTGCCAATGGAAAAATGATTTGACATAAATGGAGGTTTCCTAAAATAGGGGCACCCCTAGATCATCCATTTTAACAAGATTTTCGGTAACAAACCAGCCATTTTGGGTATCACGTTAGCGGTCCTGCTCCTCCTGTCGCTTTCCCTGGATCGCATCTCTGTGCCTTTTCTCATGAATTCTCCGTCTCTGAGCGTAAGCATTTTCGCCTCACGAGTACATCACCAGCTTGTGCAGCTGGTGCAGCTGGTGCAGCTGGTGCAGCTTGTCAGGCTTGTCATACACCAGAATTATATAGAATTATAAGAATCCCAATCTGTATAATCTGCATTGTGGCTATGTTGGCTACGCTGTGATCTGAAAACCTTTGTCTGAGGACACGGCGCTTTTTCCTCCATTCTTTCAACTCCTCTAAACACATTTCAAAACATTGACCAACTGAATAGCACAAGACCATCTTCAGATTTAAACATCAGATTTTTAAAAGTTTTCTAGGTTCAACCTCATGAAATCGGCTGCTATTTTGTGGAGGCATCTTTTGATTTATACCAACGTGTCGAATGTGTTGCGCTTTCCTAAGGCATTTGTGTTATCGATGGTTTCTTTTTGTATACGATGCAATTTCGGTTCTGACCCAAAAACTGCTTGTCAGCTGCTGGTGGTTCTTCAGTCCTGAGCCACCTCTTCTGCAAGTTGCGCCGCCCCACCACTGGCCAGTTGCAGGCGTGGGTCCCGCTTCTCACGAGTAACCTGTACAGATCTGCACAAGAACATTTCGTTCTACAGCACCTTGCCAAGCACCCACGTTTAGGACATACGCTAAGTCAAATATTAAACTTGTCCAATATATATATATAATGTCAATATCAGTCTAAGATGGTCTAAGATTTTGAAGTCGGCACTCCCCTCTGAATCACATTGATACAATGAGGGCCTTTCGAGCAATCAGGGCATCGGCATCAAACTCCACGATGTTGTGGACACTTTGGACCTGGTGTCAACATTGCCGCAGCATGACATGTTTCTGAGTGAAAATGGTGCCAAATTTGAATTGATTTGAATTGATTTGAATTGTGTCATGGTAAGAATTTTGAAGTAAAAGGTGCTTCAAAGACGGAATCATTCTGACTCCAACTTTTAGACACCCAAAACATCCGTGTCATTTGCTGATGAAACGACATCGGATGTGCTTGGAGGTGGGACATTTGGGACATTGAGGTTTTCTAAGTGTTTATATCCTCCAGTCATCTAATCATCCATTTGTTCCGGGGATTTTCATGGATTTTCCATCAAAACAGTCCAACCATTGGGGCAAATCGATGCAAATCGCCTCCTTCAACTTCCGTTCCAGATCTTCCAGAGCCTCACAAGCGGCATCCTTGTCACCGTTCAACGTGTTATACGATGGATTTTTTCTACTTCGATAGCTATGTAGGTTGACTGAAGAGCCCCGTGAAACCTAATATGTATCATATCTTTATATGTATATGTAATTATTTATAATGTCATGTTTTCCGAATTGTTTTCGAAGCGCTCTTGCGTTGTCATGGACTATAATGGGCTATATAGGCCCTATTGGAGGTTTGTGAGCCGAAGTATGGCTGTTTCAGAGCCGCCCTCCGGTTAAATGGTAGGGGCTTAGATTCCTTCGTAGCGCAGCTTGCAACGGAACCCATTTGGCAATGAAAGCAAACAAACCCATGAAACATTCATGGTTTCTATCTGCAAGCTTCAAACATGCTTTTTTTTTAATCATCTTGCAACTCTCAGCTGCCAATTTCTCTTTTCTGCCGTGTACCTTGCAGACTTCAAATGATGACGTATCTCGCTGACTCTGACCTTTTGCCAGCGCGGCCAGCAACCAAAGTTCAAACCATCTCAGCGTTCAAATTTAAAGTACTGTCCACCTGAAGCAGCGGAGAAAACCAATTGTAGCATTTTTGTCTAGAATCTAGAATCCTATTCAAGAACTAGTACGCGCAGGTAGAGAATATATTTCATGTGTATATAATATATATATATATTACATAGAATAATTATATTACATTAGATAGAACATTGACGAGCATTGTACATCTACAATTACAATGGCCAGTCCCAGCCACAGCCCCAAAATGGCCAAAAAAGTGACCTCCAAAAAGTCCTTCAAAAGTGGTTAGACACTGAATGCAGTGGCTACTTTGAAACGTTCACTGGAGGTTTTGCCCTTGAAGTTTCTGGAGATTGTGGGGACTTGATAAAGACAAGGACCAACACCGTAAAGTCTCCAAGTGTGGAAAAGACAGAAGGGTGACAATGTTTGATATGTTTGGCTTTTGGCGTCCAAGTCACTACAGTCATCTCCATTGCAGCCGCACTGTGTCTTATCGAATTTGCTTTGACCATTTGCCGTGACGCTTTTCCGCAAACGGTCCAGGTTGAAGAGCTGCACGTGCGCGTGCACTTCTTTCTGAGTTGTCCCAGAAACACACGAAACAAACAGATTTAAAGAAGCTGACCAAAGAAACAGCAGGTCCAAATAGGTTTCAAACTCAAAACAGGAAGAATCAGCCCATGAACCATATGAACCATGCTAATCCTGAACACAAGTATCAGGAAATTACAAAGAGAAAAGAGACTTCGTATATTATGATAATCACGATATATTAATACATTTATTATGGGATATTTTAATACTATGATGGCTCGCCCGCCAAGTTTCGCAGAACTTCTCAGCTGTTTTGGCCCATCCCCAGGTTCCAGGCTTCCAGGTCGATTCCGGCCAGGCTTTCTTGGCTGCTGACTTTGTCGAAGTTGCCCATTTTCCAGACGTGGCCTGTAGCGGAAACGAAAACACCAGAAATCTTATTTCAATTGAATTCAGTTGGTGATAAATATGTGATGATATATGGATAATTGTTGAATGAATTGTTGATAAATGTTGAATGATTTGAATGGATTGCAAACTGAGGGACCACTTTGCAAAGAGCATCCTTGCAGCGCTTCACGTTGTCGTTGATTTTGTTCTGAATGGTTTGTGCTACGATGCCTTTGCCGTAGTACTCGATCGCAGCACATGCAACTGCAGGTTGGGCTTCTTTCCATTCTCCCCAGCTATCTTGATACCACTTGGCAACGAAGCACACGCCTTTGGCTTCCCCTGTCACTTGATCAACATAGGAATGTCTGCGGCACGCCACATAGCGATCCTTGTAGGGTTCGTAGGCAACAGTCTGGTCGCAGGAGGCGAAATCAATCATACAGATTTGAGCACCGGGGATATTCCTGGGAGGCAAACACAGCTGTTTCGCATGTTCCAAACTGGGGCAAAACAGAAAATAAACAAATCAAGTCAACCACGCACAGTACACAGAATCTTGTACAGACACTAGAATCGCCAGGATGACTGCATTGCAAACAAACGCGTAGAAAAACATGAAAGGAACGAAACATAGGATCATCATGGGTCATATACATTTGAACAGGTTTCTTGCATCAAGTTGCGGTCCATTTCCTGACGTTGCCATGCTGATCACGCCTTTATAAGACATATTGATTCCTTCATCCGTGCACATACATACGCGCAATGCATATTCATCTTGCACGCGGATGAAGGAACAATGTATTAATTATAATCATTATGATTCTGATATATTATGTATGAATATGTATGATATGTTACAGAGTGCATGCAAGAACAAACCCACCCTCGAACATCCCTCCGCTTCCCCTGCCTACACACACATACAGTACTGACGTATGTACATTCCATCCACACTGTTCCATACCATGTCCAATCACATGACCGAGGTTGTCTGCATCACATTCAATTTGCGTGAGACTGAATACATGAACACCTTTGCTTACAAACAGCTAGCGACCTATCAATCCCTATATGTCTAGAGGGCGCTGCCTGAAGTCATACATCGCATGCACACCCGCTACATACCACAAGTTAGAGTACGTGCGTTGCATACATGATCTACAATACCAACAAAACTTGCCAGAAAGACGCATAACATGGGAAAAGGCCATATCACATTACATTACAGTGCTTGTTGTTTGAAAGCTGTAGGATTGCCACAAAACTACAAGAAAAATGCTACACTCCAACACATTTCCCCTAGGCAATCCAGGCACACAAGGAATACAGTTCAATATATCAATCCTTAGACATGTCTGCGCACAACCTATCTGCTGAAGAGCATGCCAACATGCAGCTTTCTCGCATACGTTCTTTCAAACAGCATCTATTCCGTGCACGGCGTTGATGTCTTTGCGTATCAGAATGGAGGGTCTTAGAATGCTTACATCACATACTATATATATATATACTATATCACATGCAGCGTTTAAAGATGATAAGAATGACATGTGTAGAACACGGACAGCGGGATTTGAAGGATTTGAATCCAGGCAACGGCGACATCATCGATGGTGCGACCTTGCTACGACCTTGGCATGGTGGCGTCAGTGGGTTGCCATGAGCCTCACGAGCCTCACGAGCCTCAGCAACCTCTTCTGCTGGGCGCAACGCAGTGGGCACGCCAACAAACACTGCGATGAGCACGCCACGAAGGACCACCATGCGCAGAAAACACAGAAAAACGGAAGTTTGAAAAAGTTTAGACAACTGAGGCTGTTTTGAGCATCTTGGCTGCGGCAAGTGCAATCTGGCAAAGAGTATTTGTTCCCAACAGATAAGATTGCAAAACATACCCCGCGCAACAGTCGGCAAGGATTACCTTCCCTTGCATCATTTAGCTGTGCTGTAACGTGCCCGCCTGATTTAGACATGTTCAGAAGCGCATCACCAATGCAACATCTTCTCATTCTCTCTCCACCTTCATTTCCTGTATGGGAATGTAACAACTCAGTGGCTACACATAGCTTCCCCCTTCTGCCAAGTGACTCTCTGGAGCTGGGACAAGGAGTTCGCCTTTCATGTGCCATAGATCCCACGCATTGGCGATCTCTTTGCTAAACGGTCCATACTTGTTCAGGTAACCATATTGAGACTTAGGCTTAGACTGAATTACTCTGGCATTAAGGCGTCATGGGCATGGCAATATTGGGAAATAGGTTCAAAATGGTTCAAAATGGTTCAAATAGGTTGAGTCAACGGCCGCTAGCCTCAGCAACTGTCTGCAAACTGGCAGATGCTGCTGTGGCTTTTGCCATTGCCGAGATTTGGGCCACGTCCACATGAAGAATCAGATTTGCATAGCTTTGCGAGTTAATGTCTATTTGAGCCTATGCAATTCATTGGGCTATGTTCAAAGTTCATTTTGAATCGACTGCTTGATGTATAGTTACTCACAAGCTTTCCTGCTCTACTGAAGTTAAAACATGTTTACGGAAGGTTGACCATGATGGCGGGCCAGAACATGAGATGAGAACTGTGACACGATATCTTGAGATACATTGTATATGGTTTCATGTCCCATTTAAAAAAAATCGTGGTCATTCGTGGTCATTTGTGGTCTGGGATGCGGCCTGCTCTGCCTGCTCTGCCTGCTGAGTGCGCACACTCCAGGCTGAATTCTTCCAAACTGTGCAACCCTTCGGGCAGACTATGACCCAAGCACGAAAGCAGAATTGGAATTTGATGATACAATATGATACAGCATGGACATACAATACATGGTACATTGACATACATGATATGAGTAGCCAGATCAATCCGTACACAATGGACATCAATGGACATGATACGTCTGGACGAGAATTTCAGTTGGACCCTGTAGAGGTCATGATGGTCATGCACTGAGAGATCGACTGATCCAGGCGTTCATTCGAACACACCTCACGCCCATCTGGGCACACCATGACGTGTTAGGAAAAAACCTGCTAAGATCTGTTAAGATCTGTTAATGTCACTGTTAAGATGCCAAATCTGATCAGTTACTATATGTTACTATCCTTGCCAAACGTGTTTTCACTTGCTGTTGATCTTCGTCGCCAAGTTCGGGCTCCAGACTCACGCCAGCCACCATCCAGCACCAGGATCTGCCGTGGTGTCTCTGAGAGCTCAGTTGCCTGGACCAAGGACAAGTTGGACTGTGATTTGTCTTGGCAGAAAGATCAAATGGAACCCAAATGAATTAATGAAATTCAGTAACAAGAGCCAAGTTTCACAATCACAATACGAGTGATGCATCAGAAAATGATAGTCAGGTGCTGGCTTCTTGAAGGACACGTCTTTGCAGAGAAATCTTGGGAAGACATGTATCTGCATAGCTCAGCAGAGTCTGCTCGTCAATTCAGCAGAATCAAGTCGTCAAATCCAACCGAACGACTCAAGCGACTAGAGTGACTCAAGTGACTGAAGTGATTAAATACAAATTGAGAAATGCATAGAATTGCCTTGCATTATTTGGCATTATCCAAATTATCCAGTTATTCTCCTGTTATTTTCCTGTTCTCTTTGTTTCTCTATGGTTCGGCTTCTCTTCAGCATTGCATCACAAGAGAATCGCACGGGCATGGCCTGAACGGCGGTCTCGCCTTTGATCTGAGATGATCTGATGATCTGAGATGATCTGAGCTCCTAGAAATATCAACATATTGTAACATATACCAAAATATATCAAAATATATCAAAATGATTCTGTCTGATACCTGTTTCTACCACAAACAAACTCCTAGACATATCTCGAAATCTTTACGGCTCAGAAACCTCACAACTCGCAACCCCATTCAATTTGATCTTGGCCAATGCGGGTTGACGGTACCTGGATGTCGCGAGCTTGACAACATCTCGCTCTTACACCCCAATTACCATAAAGCTTTGGGCATGTTTGGGCTACACGCTGAGAAAACGCTGAAGCCATTACAATCCACTACATTTCAAGTCATTTCAAGTCATTTCAAGGCAATCATCAGATACAGGGGTCAATCCACCGGGCAGTCAGCTGTTGTTATGCATTGATTCTCTGTCGAATTCTATGGGATGTCATGGGATGTCTAAGAACCTGGCTCGGGAAGAGTACCACGGTACCTTCAGGGTCATCTTTGATGATTTCCTGGAGCCTGGGAAAATCTGGGAAATGGCCAGGGCAAAATCTTCGATACGACTCACATCGACTCACGACAATTCACGATTCGTTTATGTTGGAATTGACTCTGAACAGCACCGAACAGCGCCTTTCATCGTGTTCTTCGACTCCCCAACACAGCATTTCTGCCTCTGAGAGTCAATATGAGCTGACAAGCTTTGACAGCTTCCATGATGCTTCATCGTTTTTCAAACGTTTGACAGTTTAAGCATGTTTAACTCATCTTGTTGTTTTCTTGGTATGTGGGTAGGCATACCAGGGCAAAGCAAATCAGCAAAATCTGGATCTGTCAGCAACTCTTCACACCATTGGACTCAGCAAGCTGAGAACATTGGTCCTTCAAACATCGTCAAAGTCACGGGTTTCCTCTGCAGCGCACCCCGAAGTGAGCCAATAGCTTTGCCGTGTTGGAGGCTTTACCTCAACTGTTCTGCACCAGAAAATGGAAAACATCGGAAAACAAATGTCGACAACGACATTCGGCAGTAGATAATTGAGACCAAGAACACTATTGATCAAGATTGTATAACTGAATCTTCCCTTGCGCTCAAGCTGCAATTCCTGTCCACTTGATCCATTCCTGTTCCACTTGGGCTCTGCACGTTGTCCGATCTCCAGATGATGCATGAGAACGATGACCCGTAAGCGGAGCTCGAATCTGAGATCAAGGATGTAGGTGACAACGTATGACAACGTATGACAACGTAAATGTAGAAATGGAAACAAATGTATAAGTAACAATGGAGTAGTAGTGTGGATGTGTGGCTCTGTTTCTTTTGCCAATTTAGAGTCGAGGTAATGTCGCCGGATGCTGTCCCGAGAAGTGCAGAAGGCACCTGGGTAAACCTTCGCAGCAGCAATGGCGCCTCTCAAACACAGAAAAAATGCGGCTCGGAATACCACCACGACATTGCCACTAAGTCGCTGCCCAGAAAAACTTGCCCCGATGTCAACATTTTCATGGCTTTGCAAGCCAAAAGAAACTGTGTTCACTGTGAATTTCAATGGTGACTGGACAGCAAGACAGTTGTGTCACAGAGAAGTGACAACCAGAACGAAACGAATCAAAACGGAATATATTAAACGATATCAGAAGCTGCCGGTCTTTTAGAGAGCAGGATACAAGATGATTCAAGTATGATCCCAGTTAAAATCCCGTCAAAAGGATTTCAGTCGCGCGACAGTCGCAATCCACTGCCTCATCAGCCAACAATGTGGACATTTGTCCCCAGGGGATTTCAGGAATGCCTCCATCTCAAAACAGTTCAAAACATCCAAATGCGCCAAACTTTTCCAAATATTTCCAAACAGTCTGACTTTGCAGCACTGTCTGACTTTTATAAACTGTCTGACTTTCTAAACTTTCGAAGCTTTCGCTCTCTGTCTCTCTCTGTCTCTTTTTTTCGACGCTGGATGGACCCATCTTGGCCCGCCTGCCTGGAAGCTGGCCCACGCTTTCGCACTGCGGGCTTTCTCACGATCTGCGACGATGCAAAAAGCGGATGCCGGGAGTCTGCTGGAATCACTACATGGGATGCTACATGGGATGCTAAGCTACATGGAGAACCAAAAGGGCTCTGGATCCTTCTGTTCAACCAGTTTTGCGTGTTTCTTCGTGTTTCTCGGAGATATCCCAAAGAAACAATCACGTGTCGAAATGTGAAGTCGAAACCTGTTACACGATTTAACAAAAGGAAGGCGGCAATAGCTTCGCTGGCCAGGAAATGCAATGCACAAATCTATGGCAAGTCCTAGCAGCATCTGGTCTTTCTATGTCTTTCCATGTCTTTCTATGTCTTTCTATGTGTTTTTGTCTCCGATCTCGCTCACTATGGTTGTTGCAAAGTGTCGCAGACCTTGTGGAGAAGTTGCTTTCAAATCTGTTGCATCATCCTGGCAACTTCGATTCCGCAGAACAGAACTGCAATCATGTGAAACAAGAAAAAGTGTGCACAACCCCGAAACACCTTTACATGGACAGGCACCGTCCAACTTAAATCGCAGCCAAATTTTGCTTGTAGTTGTCCGATACATCCCCAGTCTGTTCAGGACAAACTTGTTGTAGCAACACATTATTTTGCTTTGTCCGGGCAGCCAAGGTGGCACAAGCATAGTGAGGTAACGGACTTGTGAACCATCACCTTTATCATCTTCACTACACAGGTATCCTGATTCATTGATTCCACGGTTCCATACTGATTCCATGCAGCTGCAAATGACCCGAGGATTCTTTGCCTCTGCACTTGGGAGGGTCTCGACCTGCAGGTTCGAAGAATAAGAATACGCATTCGAGAAAATCTTAAAACCTCACATGTTCCAAGTGGTGAATGTGTAGTCACACCTCATCTTTGCAACTCGTGCTAGGAATGTCACTGTCAACACACCCTGTCATATGCAGCACAGTATGCAGCTATGGTCCTACCAATAGTCCCATCACGCCTCCACCATCTTTTGAGCATTGCTCAGCGGCGCCAAGAGAAGCTGCAATTGGATGTTTTTTGGATCTTTTCGAATGGCGTGACTTCTGGAT